ATGCCAAGAGACAGCATCCACCGGCAGCGAGCAGAGCTGGGACGTTTCGTGTTATTATTGTAAAATGCAGCCCCTGCGTTAGGTCTGAAGTTGGGGAGAACCCATCACTCACTCGTGTGTGTGCATCGGGGTGGGCAGGGGCACAGCTTACTCCCTGGAAACCACTTGGTCAGGTTGCATTTATGTAAGTCCTCTTGGAGCAAGCATTTTATTACACCACAAATAAACTTAATGGTTTTAGGATGAAACATTATGAGAAAACGTACAAGACTGAGATAAATGAATGGAATGAGCCATAAGAAACCTATGAAATCAAAATTTCCAGTTATTCTTTTTTTAAAAAAATATATTTTATTGATTTTTTACAAGAGAGGAAGGGAGAGAAATAGTTAAGAAACATCGATCAGAGAGAATCATCGATCAGCTGCACCAGGGATGTGCCCGCAATCACTGTACATGCCACTGACCGGAATCAAACCCGGAACCCCTCAGTCTGCAGGCCAACGCTCTATCCACTGAGCCGAACCGACTTCGGCCAAAATTTCTAGTTATTCAAAATGCCTCTTTTCAGATTGAAATGTTGGATCAAAAATAGCATCTTACAAATTAAGGAAATGCTTCTAAAAGGTTCAACATATTAAAAGACCTAGGTTTCTTAAAAGCAGACTGCACACAAGACTTGTAGATTAAAACACTGAACGAAAGCCTAGAACGGTCCTGAACGTGGAGCTGCGGCGTGAAGAGGTGGCATGTGACCAGGATGAACCCGTCAGGACTCACAGCCAATGGTTCCTCCCTCCAATCTGTGATTCTATTTCAACCCACGGATGCAACTGTTTGAAACGTTCAGACCCACAGGCGACACGTCACACGGGCTGTGAAGACTGGCCCCGGCTGATGTCCACGCTCCAGGACCATCCCGCGTGGCCACGGGGGAAAGCCGAGGGCGGGGCGACAGGGACTGTTACCGAGGCTAAGGGGCCAGTTCGCGCCGGGGGAGTCCGCTCTGCCGCCCAGACCGACCCGGCTGCCTACTCCGCTGTCTCCCAGAACAAGGCACCTGGGGCTCCCGCCAGCGCAGGGCAGTAAGAGGACCTGGGAGGCTTCAGCATAAATCCACTCTCACCGCTGAAAACCTGAACAAAACACTAAGCTGGTGGCAAGATGGGACTGCTGTTCAGGGTGCTGTCCTGTATTTTAGGAAAATCACAGGCTAAACTCCATAAACTCTTAAAACAATGCTGTGCTCCCCTGTGCTCTAAATCAACACAATCATTAGCTAGCTGCAAATGTGAGACATTTAGAAAGATAACTGAAGGAGGAAAAAAAACACATTATAGCCCCTTCCTTGCACAAAATGTGAGCTTTTCTGAAACGTGAACTTGAGAAGTGCCTTAACCCTGCCCTTGCAGGGAGAGACCTGTGAACTGGGCGTGGACAAGGAAAGGAAGAAACGTTCTCGACATCCCATCCTTTTCAGCAAAACACACCCATGGTTGGAAAAGCCCCCAGGAATAGTGCCATAAAACTTGAGACAGAAGCACATCTGAGGAATAATGAGCAGACGCTGAAATGGCTTCCCTGGAGCATGAAACCACTTCTGAGATCCGTGGCTCATAAATACTGGTGCCAATAGGATGGTTTTTAAACCAGAAGTACAGCAAGATTCCACAAGTACCACACACAACCAAACAGACCCCCGTCCTACAGAGGGAAGGTCAGGACCAGAGCTACCCCAGCATCCACCTGTGATTTAGGTTTGAAGAAAATCTAGCGGCAGAGGAAGAGTGGAGAATTAAAACAAAGTACACAATGAGGGTGGAAGGCAGCTCGTTTTCCTCGTGCCGCCCTTTCAGCAGGATTCAAATAGCCAACTGCAGCCCAAGGACCTGCCGGCTCTGTCTCTGTTCGGAGGAACTGAAGTGCACCGTTACTATTGCCGGGGCTTGGTCTGAGTCTGAGTGGTTTGTCCTCTCACTACTGGGACTGCTGGCCATTTATTGCCACCAGGAGTGCTGCCAGAACTAATGCTACATTTCTGTGTGGAGAGAAAAAAGGTGTTCAGTTTGACAGGTACAAACTTTCGAATATACCTAGCACTTCCAATGACCATTTTATTAACTCAGCAGCAGGACAGCGTGCCCACAGGCCGTGCGGGTGGCAGGGCTGCGGGGTGTGGCGCTCAGTCCAGGAAGCGCAGGCCTGTGAGTGTGGCCCATGGGAGTCACGGGTGATAACAATCATGAGCAGCCTGGCAAGTTTAATGAACAGCTACCCCACACTGCGGTCATGTCTTTACACACAGGAAAGGCACTGGGATTTCGGGAGTGAAGACATGTGCACAGCCGCATGGCCCTCGGAATAACGGCTTTTGCCTGAGGAGGACGCTCCCTCCACTCCAAGCACTGAAGATGACCACACTCAAGGCTGGTCATCCCAGACACACAGACAGTTCACTCCGAGCCCGAGTGAAATGTGCACGCTGAGCATGCGGGGTTTAGGAAGAGCAGCATCGGCTTCGGGCTTACAAAATGAGGAAGGCAGGATGGCTGTGGGCTGATCCCATTCACTGACACAACAGTGCCGCCTGCTGGCCTGAGACACACAGCAACACAGCTTGAAGACCAGCAGCTCTCAGGAAGCAGTCAGGGAGGGCGCTGGGTCTACACGTATGGACGACACAGAAAAGGGCAGTGCCTACACTCCTGGAGATGTCTGAGAGGTGGGACAGCTGCAAGGGGATGATAGCAACTACACTCACGGTTTCCTCCCTGCCGGTGTGAGCTATCTATTCATATTAGGCTGCTATTGGCATGAATTAACCAGAAATATATCTTTTCTGCATGTAACCACAATAAGTTCTTTTGCAGATCTTCCCTTAGAGCTCTACTATATAAACTTTAAGTAGGACCAATTATTTCACTGAAAAGACAAAAGAATTCAAAGTCAGTCAAAAGAAACCAGCCGACTGTAGGATTGTGCTGTTGTTTTTTTATTGTGTTTTCAATGGAGAAATACATCATCTGTTTACAAAATAGCTCTTGAAAAATACAAGGAGTACAGATACTATAAAACAAAGCAAACTCCAGTCATGAGACACTACGTACATCATGCGAAAGCAACAGTCCGATCTCCAGGTTATGAAACTAGAATTAAAAAGTCACTACACAGAAAAGGTCCAAGTTCCCAGCGTGGCAAAACTTGGGTGCAGTTACAGGAAACATTGAATAAACTGAATTTTTCCCCCCAATGTGTAAACAAATGACAAGACTAAATCTGTGCCTGAATTTCAATCTAACTCGGAAGCTACACAAAACACACAGCCACCTTGTCACTCCCCTGGCAGTGTGGCCCTTTCCCTCCGGTGGCGGGGACAGGGCCGATGGCTGTGCCGTGAAGGCGCGGGAGGAGATGCTATAACAGATGTTCTAAGTATGGTGAACAGAAAGCCTCAATTAATGCAGAGCCTAAGGGAAGACTACACTCCAACTTCGGAAATTAATTTAGAAGGACAGGGGAGAGTTTAAGTGATTGCAGTTTAACAAGGAAATGCGTGTGACAGAACGAAGCACAATGGAGGATTCAGAAAACATGCTCATCGGAAAGATCGGTTAGGTTTGCTTCGTCCAGATTAAGAAAGAAGTTTATCAACACCTAGCATCTCTCACAGTCGTGAAGATGGCTGTTCCGCTGCTTAATTAGGAGGAATTATCTTCTTTAGAGTTCCTAATCTACTGACAGGGTGAAACAAAATGAAAAAGGCAGAGAGCTGACTAGATGTCAAGTGAGTGCTAGAAATGATTTTTAAATGTTTCTAGATGTAAAATTTACTGACAAAGTTGGTCAACCATTTAAAAATAAAATTTAGTTTAAAATTCTTGGAGAAAACGCCTTTTGCCCACATGTTTGAAACAGAAAACCGGAGTTCTGTGGAGTGTACAACATCCCTCCTTTGTAGGATCGAGTGCTGTCCAAGGCGGACCCCATGTTCACAGGCATTCCGTTAGTCCTCCTGAGGGTCCGGCCACGGGACCACAATTCAGTGTCCTGGGCCCCATGGCACGAGGTCACTGGCTCCACACCACTGCTTAAGAAAATACTGGCATTTTGTTTTGTGTGGAAAAAATCCAACATTATGCATACAAGCAGAAAGGGAAAAAGAAAAACAAGGGGAGGGGGAGGAGCAAAATGCTTTTGTCTGTTTCGAAGACCACAGACTAAAGGCAAAAGAAGACCGAGCTTTAATAAGCTCAAAGAAAAAGATCTCTCGCTGATCGCTGATTTATCTGCACTCTGAACAATTCTATAAATAAAATGAATATATCATTTCTTAATCACCACCCCCATCAAACCAAGTGTTTCCTAATTATTCTTTCAGTGTCAAACCCCAATCTTAGAATTGGCATGTCCTTCGGAAGGGTGACAGCTGCCTCACAGGGACTGACCTAGGCCCGCTCTCAGGCCTGCCCTCCAGTACAGCGGCACTCCGCTGCAGAGAGGGGTCCGGTTTGAAGACTGACGGGAAAGGAAATTCTTCAAGAAAAAATGAGATCCATCAGGCTGAAACCTAAAATTAGTACTACTTTCTAAAGCGAAAATACATAAAAGTGCATCATCAGAATAAGGAGTTCTTATGCTAGTTTGTATCGCAAATTTTCCAAACAATGCATCAAACATAAACCCAATCCAGATGGTCAATTAAGGATACAAATATAGCTTGAGGGTTGTTGTATTTTTTTTTTTTTGCTTTTTTTTTTAAAGGCAGTAATTTTTTAAAATAGTTAATGCAACTGTTGCTAACACAGTAATAATAGTACTCCTGGCTTCACATACTAACCTGGACTTCCGATCAAGTGCTGATTAGCCCAGTAAGGGAGGTCACACAAACCTACATCCATGTTCAGCCATGTCTAGTCTTGTACCCTCCAGTCTCCTTTCTTAGCATTTGAAGACAACAGGTTGAGTTGGCAGATATTGTTTATGGACCCCTGAGGTTGTTTTTACCGATTCAATCTCAGTTTTATTGAATTCTTGATAACAGGAATAGGATTTGCAGGGAGAGCAGGGATATCAGAAAGGTCTGTACTGGATGTTTTCTGAGGACAAAGCAAAGAACACAACGCTGTAACTTAACAGAGATTTACTTTCCCAGTGCTTTATTCCTAAGAAATGGAGGGATCTTAGCATAAGAACTATTAAAAATTTAAAGAAAAATTTCAAAACGAAATATAAATAAATATGAATTACTATGAAATTGTATCTTTTATGCTTGTGGGAACATTTTAGCAATGTACAGAAAATGTAAGTAATGTCAAACACAGCTTTTATAAACATACTGCACTAAGATCGCCCAGCATGTAATCGCCAGGGCAGGCACACTAGCTATGGCTGTGGTGCTGGTGGTACTGCAGCTCCCCCCTGTGGTGGAATGCTTCAGGTTCACCTTAGACACAGGAGCAGCACTTGTCAGGAAACAGGATTTTTGACCCCGTAAATTATCCATACAACTGAGTAATAATTTTATTATTTTAAACTTCAGGGAAGTTTCATATTAAAAATAAATTAAATCACAAGCCTTCTTGAACATTCAAAAACATAGAGATGAACTTTTAAATGTTTTATTATAGAAAATTCCAAAAATACACAGAAGTGAAGGAACTGTATGATGAATTCCCATACGTTCATTCCGCAGCCTCACCCACTGGCCAATGAAAGCCAATGAGTGCACTGTCCTCCCACCTTCACCTCCGTTAGGCTGGAGCAAATCCCAGAAAGCCTATCCTTCCATCCGTAAATATTTCAAGTTTATCTTCAAACGATAAACACAGGCCCCATATTTTAATCGCCCCCACCCCTAATAGTCCCTGTATATCACCAAATATAGAGAGAGATGCATAATCCTTCACACAATCCCTCCTGTAACTGAGTGGTTATCCACTCAATAGCTCACAGGAATTTTTCACTAGGAAGAAAATCCTACTTCCTCATAAAAATAGCTAATCAGCAGGCGCCCCGGGCACTGGTCACACTGGGACAGAACTAGGAGCGTCTGAGGAGAGTGGACACGGAGAGGTGGCCAGCCCATCGCAGGACAGTTTCAGGTGGGTGAACAGGTTTGTCCATGTTCAACATCAAGCCCAACACTTGCTAATGTGGTTTTAGTTACCCAATACCTCTTACCAGATGAAGGTTCCGAAATAAAAGACATTCCAGAAGAGCAAACATAACATGTAGACTAGCTTTAGGGACTGTGACAGGTTTACAGCCAGCAAAACCACATTTTAGAGCTGTCACATTAAAATAACCCTGAACCACAAAGCAGCAAACATCGCTGCTGGATCGTTCAGCAACTGTAGCCATCATCCATCTCAGTTCTCTTGTAGAGTAACCCCTTTATCCTCTAGCTATAGAAAAGATGTACTTTGTCAGAGTTTGACCTACACTTAAGAGATATATTCCATTTCGGGAATTCAAGAAAACATTTCGCCAACAAAATGGAAGTTCACAAATCAATAGGGGTTAGGGAGAGGAGGAGGACAGTCACAAATAGAATGTCTATGTCAAATGCAAAAATTATTTTAAAGAACTATGGGGTACATTAAGTTAATAACTTAAAAATCAGAAATAAACAGAGGCATAAACACATTTTTAAAAATAAAAAGATCCTATTAACCTTGTAAAAGTGAAATCCACAAAAAATGGATTTTAGTTGTCATAATTTAAATTTCGCTTTGACCTCTACATAAAGCCGCTATAGAACATGCATCCTGACTAACGAGGAGCTAAGTGATTTGCACTCCCACGTGTGTAAGGGGAACACCACACCAAAATACAAACAAACAAAAAAGGTCCCACCAAATCCTGGGCTCAACTACAATAAATACAAAGAATAACTTTCACATGGATACTTTATCAGTCTTTCGTACACACTCATTTTAACTCATTATACCACGCTAATCTCCACAACATTTATAAAGCTCTCCTTGCTTTCCGCACTCAGTACCTGAGAAGCCAACAGAGAAGCCGCTGTCTGAACAGTTTCTGATTGAGTTGTACTTGTCTCTGTATCAACTTGTTCCTGTGAGACAAAGAAGACAGGGGCGAGAGTCTTAGAAAAGAACAAAAGAACAAAATGCGGTTTCGCGGCTAACAGAGTAGACATATTAGAAAACAGGAAGGATTCAGAGAAAGATGCGGCTGCATTACAAAACCATCTATTGAGCTTATTGCAGGTTATTACCCATTTCGTGTACGCATGATTTCTATTTGCCTGCTTTCATCTTTTAAGGCATGGTCAGAATAGCTCATGGCTTTCCACCAGCTCTGATTGGGGCATTTAAAGCAAACAATAATTAAAGACACGCACAGGCACATTATGAAACGTGGCCCAGACAATGATTAACAAAATGTAAACCCAAGCTCTGAGCTATGTGAAAAACAAAGTCCATTCAATATTAAATACAATTACTAAGAAGCACAAAAATTGTCCCACGCCTTTAATTAAAAGTGAAAACTGTTTCTAGAACATTCCTCCTTCCTCTGGTTTCTCTTCCCATTCTCAGTCATCAGCGCTCAGTGCGGCTCTCAGGTTAATCACAGCCACAGCTCCAACTCCTCCAAAGCAGCGCACACAAACAGTAACACACACGCACATATATACACACTAATGAAAAAACACACAAAAATTTGAATTTCTACAAAAAATACTTATACAGTAATAGAACAATGAAATACCAATTTTCTCCTCTAAAACTACAAAGGGTAAAATAGGATGTAAGAAATGGAAAAAGTGCGGTGTTTCTATAGCACAGCTTGGCAATATGTATCAAGTTTTAAAAGAAAGCATACTATTTGCCTCAGTAATTCCTCTTTAATTTATTTATCCAGATGAAATAAACATAAATGATGGCAGCCATTTAACTATAGTCAATACTACAGCAGAAAAGGGCAACTTTCTTTTAAAAGGAACAATTGCTAACAATAAGAAACTGGCTGTATAAAAATTATAACTGCTTTAAGATAGCATTCTATGCAGCCATTTTCTAGATTATAAAGTGACATTAAATTTTTTTTTCTTGGTTTAGAGTGAAAAAAGACTTAAAAGCAAAAGGCATTGGCAGTATACACAGGCAAATCTATAAAGACATCAAAATAATACTTGCTAAAATATCAATCATGGGAATCTGGATAATTTTGGGAAAAGGTGATTTCCAGTTTTTCTATAAGGAGGACAGAGGTAAGCCTTTAGTATATTTCAATTTCTGGGGTGGGGGAATGATGTTCCCAGTCTAGTACGGTTTGGCTCAACCAATCTCCCCAGCCTGTTTCCCTGCTTCAAGCCCCGGACCGGAGGTCTGCCACACCTGCCGCGATAGTTCTCTAAACTCCCGTCCTCTCCTCAGCTGGGATGAGCTGCCGGGTGCCCTGCCCATAAGCCTCTCACCCTCCAGAGCCGGCCTCCGACACTACAGCTCCGCTCAGAAGCCTCACATTGCTTCTGCAGTCACCAATAACTGCTCTTCCTCTCACCACCCACCATCCTCAATCCCTTTGATAATGTAATTAATTGCTTCCCCTTTTTATTTTCTTTACTTAATGGTAAAGAACTGTGAGTTCTCTAAAGGAATGTAACATAATTCACTCACCACTCTATACTGCTAGGTGCCCAACAATACAGAGCAACTAGAAGGGCCTCAAACGCTAGGAATTTAATTAACATTGTAAATTAACATTAAAAAGAGACACTTCTAGAAACAACCTATAGAATAAAACACAGTACAATATTCTACACACATTCTTATTACATCTTCCGTCCTCTGCATTGTGTATGTACACCAAGGCTAAATTTAGTATACCTTTGTTTCTGTTTTATCATGTGCACTCAAAGCAGGACAGTTAGCATCTTCACTTGTTTCATCCTGTTTTTAAAAAGAAAAGCTTTATTCTCTAAAATGAAAATTTTAGATTATTTGCCAATCAATGCTTTAACTTACATAATTTTTTAAGTTATGAAATAATTTAACCTGTAAGATCAAGTATGGCCTTAAAATAATTACTGATTCACTTCATTTTTTTCCATATTAACAAATTTAATTAGTATACTAAATTGTAGTACCCGCCAAAATTAAAAAGAAAATGACGAAAACTGTTATTGATCACCACCACCTAACATACAAACACACAGACACACAGACACACAGACACACAGACACACACACACACACACACACACACACACACTTTCAAAAAGAACATCCCTTTAATTTACCACAAAAATCCCTTAGTAAGACCTATTAAAATCCTGAATAAAAGGTTTAAGAAATGCTCTCTCCTAAGGTCTTAATTTTTAAGTGTATTATAATTCTATTCAAAACAATGCATTTTTGATAAAGAGAGAACAGACGAAGCCCAAAATGGCTACACTTTCCCATTCCTGTAGTGTCTTGTTAATAAGCATCACTTTCTTAAGAAAAATAATTTTGACACTAATTTCACTGCTTTATTTACTGAGCAGAACTAAAATTTAATTTTAATTGGCTCTAAAACAAGATATAGAAACCATAGGGTAAACTTACAGAGTAGGAGAGATCTACCCTGTTTCCCCGAAAATAAGACAGTGTCTTATATTAATTTTTTCTCCCAAAGTTGCGCTAGGTCTTATTTTCAGGGGATGTCTTATCTTTCCATGCACTAGGTCTTATTTTCGGAAGATGTCTTATTTTCGGGGAAACACGGTAATTGCAGTATCAACGAATTCCAATAAAAACCGTATTTATATCCCTCAAACATACATACTTAACAAATAGTAATTTAAATCCCTACTGAGCCCATTTTAATTCTGACAGGATATGTGACATTATGATAATATCGGTAAATGTACTTATACATACACACAAATATATACGTGGTGAAATATATTATAGCTGTGCTTTTATTAGTCCTTATTTCTAGAATATTTATGGTTGAAATGATATGCCTGGGAACTGCTTTGTAACATGGGAAGTGAGCAGTTGTGTAGATGAAAGAAGGCTGGCAATGATTTGTTAACTGCTAGTGGTACAGACATAACTGCACATTATAAATTTTAACATGTTTGAAATTTTCCACAAGTTTTTAAAATATTTATAGCATAATATATTTTTTAAAAAAACACATATATGATATATATATATATATATATATATATATATATATATATATGGCAGATTTTTTTATTTACATTGCTGCCATTTAAATATATTTGAAAAGCTTTAGCATATGATGCAGATTTAGCAGAGCTAAACTACCTGGCAATACCTAAACACTCCTGCCTACAATACACCTTAGTATATTATTAATTAAGCAGAACCAATTGGCTAAAATTTCTAATGCCAAGTACTCATTACCAGAGGATAAAAAACTCAGTTTAGGAGAGCTTCAAAATTAGGATATTTAGAATATTTTTAACAATCTTCTCAAATTTAGCACCATGATTTTAGCCTGGGTTCTAATCCTATCTCTGAGTTTCATTAGCTTTATAAACAAAAAAAGCCAATGAACCCTGAGTTTCTCTTCTAAGAAATGAGACTCATAACTAAGATCCTAAGATCTCTTCTACAGTTTAAAATTCCATTTTTATTAGTCAAAATAAAAATGAGTCGCCAACAAGCAAACCCCAGATTAAGAAAGTATATAGAAAATAAAATCTCAAGGAAAAAAATGGGAGAAACCTGTATTTTATAGGATACTTGAAACATCAATCAATTGCTAAGCAAGGATCTTATAGACTAGAGGCCTGGTGTATGACATTTGTGCACTGAAGGGGAAGAGGATGGGAGAGGCTCAGCCCCACCGGCCTGTGCCCTCTTGCAGTCCAGGAGCACTCAGGAGGAATTCTGACTGCCTTCAGAGTCTGCCCCCTGTTAGTCAGTGGGTACCATAGCGACCGGTTGTTCCGCTATTTGGTAAATTTGCATATTAGCCTTTTATTATATAAGATTTGGACAAAGATAGTCTTTAAAAAACACACAAATCAATGATACAATCAGGGATCTTTGGGCACTGACTAGATATTTAATATTAATAAATTGGGGGTTTTTCTAAGTGGGTTATGCTTATTTTCTTATACTTTCTTTTTTGTAACCATTATCTTTTAGATAGAAGAGTTTAAAAAAAAACTAATGAAATGATATGTTTGGAGAAGTGGAAAAGACTGAAAAAACTAAGGGTGCAGGGATTGGCCAGGTGCTCATACCTGAAGCTGCACAGTGGGTACATGGATACATGAAATGATTCTCTGTGTGCACATTTAAAATTTTAAAAACTGCCGGGACCGGTTTGGCTCAATGGATAAAGCGTCGGCTTGGGGACCGAAGGGTCCCGGGTTCGATTCCGGTCAAGGGCATGTACCTTGGTTGCGGGCACATCTCCAGTAGGGGGTGTGCAGGAGGCAGCTGATCGATGACTCTCTCTCATCGATGTTTCTAACTCTCTATCTCTCTCCCTTCCTCTCTGTACAAAATCAATAAAATATATTTGAATAAATAAATAAATAAATAAATAAATAAATAAATAAAATTTTAAAAACTTTACATTCCTATTACTCCCCTAAACTAGACATAAAACGTGTTTTCTAGCCAGGTAAGAGCAAATGAAATTACAAATACTGTACACATTTGGTTAGAGCTAACAAAGAATCATTAAAAAATTTGCCAATTGCCAAAACCGGTTTGGCTCAGTGGATTGAGCGTCAGCCTGCAGACTGAAGGGTCCCAGTATTCCGGTCAAGGGCATGTACCTTGGTTGCGTGCACATCCCCAGTAGGGGGCATGCAAGAGGCAGCTGATCGATGAATCTCTCTCATTGATGTTTCTAACTCTCTCTCTCTCTCCCTTCCTCTCTCTTTATAAAAAAATCAATAAGATATTTTTTTTAAATTTTCTTTAAAAAAAAAATTAACATGAAGGAAATGGAGTGTCTAGAGCAGAGGTAGGCAAACTCATTAGTCAACAGAACCAAATATCAACAGCACAACGAATGAAATTTCTTTTAAGAGCCAAATTTTTTAAACTTTAACTTCTTCAAATGCCATTTCTTCAAAATAGACTTGCCCAGGCCATGGTATTTTGTGGAAGAGCCACGCTCCAGGGGCCAAAGAGCTGTATTTGGCTCACGAGCCGCAGTTTGCCGACCACGAGTCTAGAGGTATGCTCGCACATACTTTACTAAGGTAAAAGAAATGGGAATTCTGAAATGCTCTGACACCACCAAACAATAGACAAAATGTGGACTCACACCCACACCAGGCCATTCTTTGAGCGATGCACAACACAATCCAGCAGCATGGGCTCTGGAGGTTCCCCACCCCGTTCCTGCCCCCAATGTTCTATGGAGCATTTGGAAGAGGTGGGAAGCAGGTGACTGACGGAGGGATGGACTAAACCAGTGGCCGCCTACTGGGGGACTAAGGAACGCTGGTGGTCCGCGAGGTATGAATGGTTAGTGACCACTGGACTAAACTAATCCCCTCTGGTAGCAGTTATTTCCTTTTTAAAAAAGAATTAAGTTTTACACAGGAACATTAATGAATATTTCCTTGTTGTAAAAAAAAAAAAAAAAAAGGAGAAGAAATGCCCAAGCCTAAACTCCTAGAGTTTCTGACTCTGTATCTGGAGAAGGCCCTCAATTCTGGAAAGAAAAAAACCCTGAAAAAGTAATTCTGATGTACAGTCAGGGTCGAAAACCATTGCTTTTGGAAATCATTAAACAGACACAGATGGGTTTTCAGAATACATGTTTTAAAAAATACTGAAACCATTTTTCATTCACAGAATCATAAGAGTGACAAAATTCATCACATTATTTATATTTCATTAATAGTGACTATTTCCTAAAATGACAACAAAAAAACAACTTCAGAATAACCTAGAGAATAAAACATGTGAACTGTCACCTCTTTGGCAATGGTGAAAGCCTAACAGGAAACAACACGAGTCACTCCAGGGATCAATGCAATTGTGTAACAAACCTATTTCTAGCCTTAGGTGCAAACTTAAATCAATGTATACTTTTACTGCTTTTCTTAAAGCTATCTGAGACTCTGACGAGATAAACCATTCCCTATAAAAGTAGGTACTGCTAGAAAATTTCCTAGAGTTAAGAAAAAAATCATTCAAGGCCCCCAAACTAATCTGACTTTACAAATTGGGTCAGTCATTCCATTAGGAAATTCCCTTAGAACCACTCGCATTCCTACCAAGTAAAGTGTAAACACTCCAAAATTCAATTTGGATCAAGAAACAAAAACTATGTCCAAAAAAGCTATGAAAAAACCCAGTCAGAGTGGCTCAGTAGCTGAGTGTCAACCTATGAACCAGAAGGTCATGTTTTTGATGCCCAGGTTGTGAGATCAATCCCGTGAAGGGTGTGCAGGAGGCAACCAATCAGTAATTCTCATCCTTGATATTTCTATCTCGCTCTCTCTCCCTTCCTCACTGAAATCAATAAAGATACACACACACACACACACACACACACACACACACACGTATATATATTATTTATTTTTCATCGGTAACCATAAAGGCCAGCTGTATGAGAGCAATCAATGAAGGAGCCATATAAGTCCACGCTCAGTCTTACAAACTAGACAGGCTACAGAAGGTGGAACGAGAGGCACAGCTTTAGGAAGAGGCAACACTCCCTAAACATTTACTACAAGCTTTCCTCCTTCCTGCTTCTCATTTTGGCTCACAAAGATTTTCTTTCGCTGGATTTTCAAATAGTTAAGCTGGTGTTCTCATGGGTAACTAATCTATAGGTACCTCTTCCGTTTTGGTTTTCTTAGGACTTTCTTCTCTGTGAGGTGAGGATCTCCTCTTGACCCCTCCTGTGGGATTAGGTATTTTTGTTGCTGCATTTCCTGAAGGTCGTGGTGGTGGGTTGACCAGGCGTGTTGCAGAAACCACTCTGGAGACCGCAGGCTTTGGTGGTGATGAAATGGCTGGCTGTGTGGCAGTTTGAGGAATGCTTTCGCTCGATGTACCTAAGTAATAAGTAAACATTAATAAATAAAAATTAAATCATCAGCATCCAGGTACAAATAAAGCTTTGTTTCTCTAAATTTGTTATCGCTGATAACTTTACATGCAAATATTAAAACGGCATTAAAAAAACGGCATTTCAGACTACTTAACAAATAAAGCCATCTTTCAAAATGAAGGCTGAGTCCACTGTGGCTCAGTGGTTGGAGGGTCAGCCTGTGTATCAAAAGGTCGTGGGTTCAATTTCCCAGTAAGGGCAGCTACGTGGGCTGCAGGTATGATCCCAGGTGGGAGGCAACCGACCAATGTCTCTCTCTCACATCGATGTTTCCCTCTCCTCCTTCCCACTCTCTCTCTTAAAAAAAAAAAAAAAAAAAGGAAAATATCCTCGGGTGAGGATTAACAACAAAAACAAAAGGCAAAGGCGGAGACGCCATGTAACGTAAGTACTCTACCTGTCAAACCAATTCCCTTGCCCCCTGAGCTTTCACTGGAATCCGCTTGTGGCGCAGGAACATCAGCGGCCTGGACGCTGGTCACAGATGCTGCTGTCACAGCTGGAGCAGGACTGTTCCTGCTGTTTAAGGACGGTGACAAGTAAACAGAGAAGCATAAAGTCCAGGCACAACATTTTGTGAAATTACTTTCTAAAGATTGTTCAGATTTACTCCTCAGATATATACATTGTAACTGACTTATATAAGATATAACCAACAATCAAAAGCACACAAGCCCTCTAAAGCATAGAATTTTCTATAACAATGTTCTTTACGCTATCTCATATTGTAGTTACTACACAAATGAAATATGGGCAGTGAGAAACAGAATATTTAACTTTATTTAATATTAATTACATGTAAAGTGCCACACAAAACATGGAACACAAGTATGACACGGTAGGACAAATTACTTTCCGCAAAACTAAGAGTCAAATGGCTATTTAAAAATATTGTAAGATGGAATAAAATTAATATTCTAAATAGATGTTTTTAACAACAATTGAATATGTTTCTAAATATCCACTACACTTCTTCCATTCCCTTGTTTTCCTTACCCCTGAGAGCTGCCAGAACTGTTCAACGGACTGGTCTTCATAGCACTAGTAGGTGAAGGCACAGACATGCTGTTATCACTGTCCATAGACAAGTCAAGGCTGTTCTCATTCAGAGGTGTCAACCTGACACCTTCTGTTGAATGCTGCAATCAATAAAACATTCAATCAAATACATCTTTATTTTATTCAGATCTATGAAGCATGAACATGTTTTTTACTTGACATATGATTTCTACTAAAAAGTGAAAATCAAAATTTATGAAAATTAGAAGTGTGATGCTGACTATAAAAGGCATGGATTTGAGAGACACATACTCCCAACTCTAAGAAGCCGTCAAACTATAGCTCTTCCGTGGGAGAAATAAGGAGAAAGAAATGGCACATTAAACACACATTGAATACAAAACACACTGCAAATTAAAAAGTATTAATACATGAAATGACATGGATCTTAAATCTGAGGGCTTCAATATACATTCATAAATGTATTAGAAAAGTCTACTAATAACACGATGTTAACAATTAATATCTCTAGCAATTGGGATTAGAATTGATAACAGATTTTTAAAATATTCTACAATAAACTTTATTATATTTGTAAATCAATGAGTCTCTCCCAAGCATAGGATTCCTTAATGCTCTAAGGCAGTGGTAGGCAAACTCATTAATCAACAGAGCCAAATATCAACAGTACAACGATTGAAATTGAGAGCCAAATTTTTTAAACTTAAACTTCTTCTAATGCCACTTCTTCAAAATAGACTCGCCCAGGCCGTGGTATTTTGTGGAAGAGCCACGCTCCAAGGGCCAAAGAGGAGCTGCATGTTGCTCACGAGACGCAGTTTGCCGACCACGGCTCTAAGGCCACTTAGGATTTCAACATGGTAGTTTAATAGTGTAAATTATCCTATGGAAAAGAATCATTTTCTGAAAACTAAACTTTATAACCACATGTAAATCCTAATGGTGGCCCTGCCTCTTAAAAAGCAAAGCATTCAAAGATAGTAACTAAATATAGGAAAACAAAAGAAAACTAAAAAACTGTAAGTGATTTTATGAATGTTGATTTCTAAAGTGTCTTAAGATTTCCATTTCGATAATTAATGCTATTACAATGTCAAATTTACTTCAGCTTTTTCTTTCCAGAACTCTCAGTCTCAGTGTTCACTTATTACAGAAACATTTTAATCTAAATATTTTGCATTGTTGACAAAAACTCATATCCTATACATGTGTATGTGCAAGTGTGTGCATGTATGCTCTAATTTTTAATTCAGAACTAGAGAAACCACTATGTACATAAATAAGCACCTTATTCCTCTTTTCCCAACCCCAATCTGTTAACCATCCATTATGGTGAATTCGATGGTTATTGTTTGCTAATATATACTTTTATTTCATACTAAAGGCCAGGTGCACAAAATTCATGCACAGGGGTGCTGGGAGAGGTGTCCCTCAGCCCAACCCCCTACCATCTGGAAGCCCTCAGGGGATGTCCTATTGACGGCTTAGGCCTGCTCCCCGTGGTTCTGTTCTCTGCGGACCTGCCTGCTTGAGGCCACCGCAGGCCCTGGTGTCTGCTCTCTATGGGGGCCTGCTTGCTCCTAGCCACTGGGGCCAGGGGCAAGCAGGGCCCTACTTTCTGCTCGCTCACTGCAAGGGACTGCTTGTCCCTTGGCTGTGGTAGCCCTGCTGTTTGCCTGCTCGCTGGTAGGACGTACCCGCCCCACCCCTGGCCACTTGTGAGTGCACTGGCTCAGGACGCCTGGGTTCGGGGGATGTTCCTGCCCTGCCCCCGCTGCTCCGCGCCAGCACGCATAAGCCCGGAGTGGTCAGAGGTTCTTCCAGGACCCCAGCTGCTCCAGGCCTATGAGCAGAACTACAGGTTCAGAGCAGCCTGGCTCCCAAGGATGCCTGACCTTGGGACGCAGGCCTCATGGCACTGGTATGTAGGTAAGCGGCCGCCCCACCCCCTGCCGCTCACATATGCAGATTAACCCACCATGTTTGTTGGGGTCATCTGCATACTCACTCATGATTGGCTTGTGGGTATCGCGGAAGCACAGTCAATTTGAGCATTTCTCTTTTATTAATGTAAATTCTCTCTTAAACCATTTGTTTTTGACCTAGATGGTTTGACTCAGTGGATAGAGCATCGGCCTGGGAACTAAAGGGTCCTGGGTTCGATTCCCCAGTAGAGGTATGCAAGAGGCAGCCCAATCTTTGATTCTTTCTCATCATTGATGTTTCTATCCCTAACTCCCTCTCCCTTCCTCTCTGAAATCAGTAAAAATATGTTTTAAAACCATATTTTTTTTAAACTTGTAAACTTCATATAAATGTATCAAATGGTACATACTCATCTGTACCTTTTTAACTCAACATAATATGTAACTGTAGTTCGTTTATTTTCATGGCTATGTTCGAGTATTCCATCATACAAATAAGTCATTTATTTTTGAAACCACATAAGCAAATATATTTGAACTAAAATCTGTCCTCTATGTTAAGTCTGAATTTAAAAAAAGCTAAGTTACTCAACAGGAAGCACTAATAACATAATATAAAACATTAACACTGGTGACCTCTGTTATATCTTCAATAATTTTAAAAATTTTAATAAAATAAATACATATATAATTCTTACCAAAATAGAGCCATTTTCATTGAAAAAAATCATTTAATTTACTTGAGCTACAGAATACCTAATTGAATTTGTTTACTTTTTTAAAAAGATGGAAAATACTTATGTGGAATATCAAATGGCTACGAAAAGATTCTGAAGAGAATCTAAGTATATATAAAATAAGGATACAAAGCACCTCCACTAATCTATCTAAAGTCTGAAGCAAGTGTGTGCAAGAAACCTGGTTAGGAAAAAGATTTCATATAATGCAACTGTTCCACTTAACAGATATTTTAAATGCTGTGACTATTTATTTAAATGTAACATTCCCTGAGCCTGAGCCTACAGTTTTGAAGTTCTGATAGCCTGAACACATAAAATATTATATCAGTAATATTTTTGTGAGTACTTCTTAAATTTACCTTTTTCTTTTTCTGAAGCACATGATTAGGTAGTAGTTCATGGAGTTGCTTTCTTTTTACATGCATTGCAGCAATTTTCATGTCCACCTCAAACATCTTGCTGTTTATTGCTTGCCTATAAACTACACAATTAGGAAATTGTTATAAGAAATAAAAACATTTTAATAATGCAGTTCAACTTATCCAGGAGAGGCTATTCTAAGCAGGGATCACCCTTTAAACATCAATACTTCACAAGTATTCAATAACCAGGTAAAAACCTATTTCTACTCCAACAATTCACTGCCTGAGCAAACTAAGTCCTTTTACCAGAAGGTTTTCAAAATGAAAAACATACAAAAAAACACAAAGTATATGAATTCTTCCTGTGCAAAAACTCTTCAAGTGGTAACTTTCAATAATCACTCTTTAAGAAACAGTGGAATTGGAGAAAAATAGGTTCTTAAGCCCATTCCCTTTAATGCTACCAGTATAATTCTAAATTCTAATTTAAGTAACAAATTCAGTAAAACAAAAGTCAAGCTTATTTAAATATACCTAAAGATACCTTTTCAAGAACCGCAAGACAACTAGTAATATTTTCTATTACAGAAATAACTCAGATAACAGGTCATAGGAACAAAAATAATATGCTAAAAATAAATAAATCCAAATAATTTAGTTTCAGAAGATTCCAAAAATGGAAAAATTCATTCACTGAGTTCAACAACTAATAATTATGGAGTGGCTATACATATCACACTGCTCTAGACACAGGGCAGAGCAGGGAATAAGACACTAAATTAATTTGAGTCTACATTCCAATAGGGAATATATAATCAACGGGCAGGGGGAGGGGGATTAAGTAAAATAGTTATCCTTCTAACAGAGGGATTAGGTGCAGTGACCCCCCCAGAAGTCAAAAATACAGAGAGAACTCTAGCTGGCCCTCCACACGTGGATTCCCACCACGGAGTGCCCTGTTGAACGTGGGTTTGAACTGTGTGGTGGCAAGTGATCTTTATGGTGTAAGCGGACCAGCTCAATGCAAACCTGTGTTGCTCGAAAGTCAACTATTTCATATCAGGAGGTGATAGGCGCTATGGGGAAAATCGAGTAGGAAGAAAAGCAGCTCAGCCGGGACACTAAGATTACATGGAGTGGAGACTTAAATGGAGTGAGGAAGTGATCTGACAGTACCTGGTGGAATAGCATTCCAGGAAGAGAAACATCAAGGACAAAATGTCCTGAGTGGAGAGCATACCTGGAATGTTCGAGGAACAACAAAAAGGCCACAGGGAAGGAGGAAAAGTAGAGATCAGTAATCCTTTATCTAATTCTAAAACCCCAAAAACTCCCACCCAACACAGAAGTTTTTCATAAGATTGGTGCCAAACTCGTCTGGCAACAAACCCTGCCCTGCTCTATTTGTGGTTGTTTGATCTCCACCAGGGCTTACTGTGTCTAGCAGACAGCTCCCTGTAGAAATTCTTTGGCTAAAAATGTTTCTTTGGGCCCTGGAATGATACTAACTTTATTACTTTCTGGCTCCAAGATAGATGAATAAGAATTCTAAGCTTATACTAAAAAATGAGGTCAGACATAAGGAGAGGTCGGATCAGGTAAAGGCTTGTAAACCACAGTAAAGACTTGGATTTTATTCCAAACAGCATGGATAGTCATTACAGGTCTTGAACAGGCGAGACATGCTTTGGATATTGACTGAAAAAGCTGAAGGTGGGCAAGGGCAGTACAAGGATCTGATAGCAATAGCAGTAAGTGGTGTGACCCAGACTAGGCTGACAGCAGAGGAAATCACAATGTATTCTGAAAGCAGAGGCAAAAAACATTTTAATGGATTTATATCAAGCACAGCAGTTCCTCAAGTAATGTCATTTCATTATACCATTGGTAAGGGGTTGGGGGTGATTCCTGGCCAGGATTGCTGCCTGTGAGGAGTCTGCATCTTCTCCTCATGTCTTCCCCAGGAACTCCAGTGTTCCCACATCCCAGAGCTGTACAGTCAGGTGAACTGGTGTGTCTGGTTGTCCCAGTCTCAGTGAGTGAGTGTGCCCTGCACTAGAAGGGTGTCCTGTCCAGATAGGTCCCACCTGGTACCTTGAGCTACCAGGAGAGGCTCCAGTCACCAGTCACCTTTAATTGGAATAAGTGGGAATAATTATCTTACTACCTTTTATTAATCTTCCTTAAATGTCATGTATAGCTCACATTTATTTCAATGTTCAACACTTTGAAGTGTTTTGGGATCTTTATTTAGAAATTTGGTGGTGATTATGAAACCAGAACTATGCAGTATGAACTTAACTCATGTTTATATCAATTAGCCTAAGGCAAAACTGGTTTTGTTATATATATCATTTCACTTAAGTCTCAGTTTCCAAGAATCTATGGATGACATTAAGTGAGGACTTCCTATCTGAGAAAAACAAGAGAGGAAGACTCCAAGATTTTTAGCTTGAACAACTACAAGAAAACAGTTGCAAAACTTGAGACAAAAAAAACATTTGAAAAAGTTGGAAGAGAGTGGAGGTAGCATTTTGGGTTTTGAACAAGTAAAATTTGTTTTATTAAAAAAAAAAATTCTCACAAAGTATTCCATTAAAATGTTCAAGATACAGGACAACTAAATATTCGCTACCCAAAAATACCTGAAAGTGCCTTGAAAATCTTGACAGTTCACTCATACAATCTTTGATAAACAGCTCAACTTAGATGCAAAGTACAAAACAAATGGTTTATGGTGACATCAGAATTTTTACTTTGAAAAAAAAAACACACTTCTGTGGTGCTCAGCAGATAGTCATCAGCACCCCCAGATCACATCCTAAAAGCTTGCATGAGTGCTTTTGTTGTCTCAATAATTAAAGATTATTACTTGATACTATGTGTAATCCTGAGTACAGAGTTCCTCACAATAAAGAACTGGACCATGTCCTACTTACATTCCTAAAGATGAGGAACTCAATTTTACAAAAAAAATAAAAAAATTTTTAATCTGAATTTTCCAGGAATGCAACTACCACATAAAGAGATCACCTTTTGTTCAATTTAAAGCCTTAGCTTCATTATGTCACCAATTACAATGCTGCTGGTGTGATTCACTCACTGAATCACAAAAGGAACACCTGGCTCAGTAGGAGTTCACAGAGGTCACACTGCTAGTGACTACACCTAGGTGTAATCCTGAGCACAGTGGATCTTCTAGTCACTGTACCAAGGCATTGCATACATATTCATGAAATACATATTCTTTTCCCTTTATTTTTCCTTTACATTTAGTGTATGATACTGACTTTTTAGCAAATTAGAAAAATTGTTGTCCCTCCTTCTCTAAGGATTAAAAAAACTTTTAATGTTAAATCTAAATGTCCTTGGGGGAACTCTTTATTGAGGACAATGAAAATGATACACACTAGAGTTTTAAATTTGGGTGGGAAGGTTGTTTGAAAAGAAAAATTAGTGCCTAAAAAAGATGCCATTCATAATTGTCTCTACACATACTCACCACTCCCTTGAAAAGCTGAGCATTTATACAGCCTTAGCTCTGTCCACTGTATCTCCCCGTGGACCTTAACCTATATACTATATCTCAGGGTACAGGTCAGTCTGAAATGCAGCTCAATCACCCTCTCCCTCACCCATTAATAAACACTCGAGTCTGTATTTGACATAGAGGATAAATTTCCTCAAGGCTACCAAAAGTTTAGCTTCAGAAATTCCTACCGTACAAGATTATCAAGGCAGTCAGGCACAGAGTCAGTCTTTTAGACAATCAAATATTCAAGTGGTTTCTATATGTAATTGTGAACAAATCAAATTTAAAATAGCTTTACTTAACTTAGATCTACCATAATAGAAAAGAAAATAATTTATATATTAGAAAATGGAAACTAATAATAAATCCAAAAACATAAGAGTATTTTTATGATTAGTGTTCACTATTCCCAGGAAATTTTAGTATTTATTACAAATATCACTATGGAATGTGAAGACAAATTCAAATACGCAAGTACATTTTGATCGTCCAAGTAGAGCTATACCTGTATCTGTGAAGGACTGAATATCATAGGTGAGATCAACACTGAGATTTTCAGAGTTTTCCGTTTTTTTAAACACTAATCCAATCACCCACATCGTGCGAAATTCTTCCCTGAAAAGAAGAGTATTTATATAGTTAAATCAGCTTTCATAAAAATAGTTATCAATGTGAGGTATATAGAAAGACTTGAAATATAAATATATTAGAGGCCCGGTGCACAAAATTAATAAATACACCATCAGAGCACTAGGACCAAATACTTGTATTATCTATGTACTTATAGCCAATTTTCTTAATGATGATCCTAAAATACCAGAGACACTGTAAACAAAGAAAAATTATGTTCAAACCAACAAAGGAAGGGAATTAACATATTGTACAAAAATGTGAAACAAATGATATCCTTGAAATAAAAACTTAACTAGAACTTAAAATATATTACTTTAACTTTTAAAACTTAATTGAAAAGGCCACATGAACAGAAATTGACTACAGCATAGTAACTGGAACAAGGGTACTTCATACCTTTGAACATTTAGTGACATATCTACTGAATGGAGCATGTAGTCTTTCAATAATTAAGACTGCAACAACAAAAAAATGTCTACAAAGCTCAAATCACACTCTTACTTGACTGAAAAAGAAAACCTGTACAAGCAATCAAAATAACAGCTATTCTTTACAAGCACAATCTTAAATGATCCATTATTTGTATTTTCAATCTCTCTTTAATCCTGTTTTTAAAAAGCTTATTATGAAAACTTACTTCTCTCTCCAAAATGCAACAAAATACATACAGAACCTCATCAATCAAACCAGAAATTTACCCATGAAAAACCCTTACAATATGAAGTGAGCTGCTTTTATCGGATCTCCTCAGTGTTCCAGAATACAAGTCAAGAGTTTCACAAGTGAAATCCAAGTAAATTCTCTTTGAAAAATTAAGATAAACTGCAAAGACTGATATTTGCTGTAACAGCTATTTTGACAACCACTGCACAAAACAGGACAGGACAGATGTTCAGAAAGAGTGCTAAAAGGCAGATCTGCAGAACAGGAACTCTTCACTCATTAATAAGCACGGTTTACTTCAGTGGTAGTTTTTCTTTAGAAATAATTTTTCCCTTCAGTGTTTCTGATCAGGAAAACCTAAACTGTAAATCTCAAATTGATTTTGAGCCACATATATTCAATAAAAGTGACTCCAGTTATTAAAAATTGCCTATAAATGATTCTCTGAGTAAAAGTTAAAAACGGGAAGAGGAAATTAAAATAGAAGGCTGCTTACTTGTCAGGATTCTCTTTGGGCGCTGGAAATGACTGGGGATTCACATGAGCCAGTGTAATAAATTCATTCTTCTCCAAACTTCCAACCAAGATTCGGATTTTCGATTCCACCAACCCCACCCTAAACAAATGTCACTCAGTATTAATAAAAATCGTCAATTTAAAAAATAAAGCATACTATACAGAACCAAATGTTTATGTAAAGCAGTATTTTGAAGATCATACTTCAATACACAGGGGGCAGTTCAACTGTCTGGGCCCCATATTTAAAACAAAGCCTTATGCTCTACCCAAAAATGCTGAGGAGAAAACAGGGGAGAAGATAATCAAACCACTTCAAACTAGGAAGGTAACAAAACATATCTTCACAAATATTTAAAGAAAAACAATAGTATGCTAAATTAAAGCATTTTTTTTTACATACTTTAAACAGTGAGGAAATTATACATGGATCTAAAGCAAACAAAAGTTGTATATAAAACCCCAAATCCCTATACTTTCATTATAAGTAGTAAAGCGCCATTTATGAATAAAACCAAACTGGATGTTTTAAGAACTTCATCCCCTCTCCTACTGCGTTCTGTGGCTATCTGATTCATTTCGAAGCTTATTTTTTCTGTAAAGTCTAATCTTGTACTTACCATTCTAGGCGTTGTTTTTCTGTTGGTGCACTTGCTAGAAGTACAATATAATGCCTTTGAAGATAAAGACAACATGCTATTTATTTAATTTAAGTGCTTTGTGCTGGATATTAACACCATAAGATAATAAGCTTCATGAGTTATGTATCAGCATCAACTTAGCAAGGGAGAAATTGCACTCTTAAAATGTACATAAAATAATAAAAGCTAAATTTTCAAGTTGCTATAACCACTGGCACGTTTAATACTTCTGTACCATTATTGTTTTATGAATAATTACCCCAAAAACAGCTTAATTCAAGAATGCTGAATAAATACTACCTGATAATTTGGTCCAATGACTACAATAGAGCACTTTACCTATAAAAAGCTGCTCACTAAAATACAGTGCATTAGAACAAAATTATTTGAATGGAAATAAAGCACCAAGCAAGGTTGAAGCCACAAAAACAGGATCACTAAACTACATATTACATCAGTATCTTCAAAAAGCAGTATCAAACACATCATGCTTCTTAATTCAAATAAAAGGTAGCAAAAACAAAGCCACGTTAATTAATACTGAAGTTAGGCCTCATGACTTTTTTCAAGTAACAGCATACATTTCCATAACAAAGCAGCAGACATCACTAAGGTGAGATGACTGAGGATATTTTATTTCTATGCAGATTCCAATTCCATGAAATTAAGAGAAAAAGCGCCCTAGTCAGTTTGACGACTGAGGATATTTTATTTCTATGCAGATTCCAATTCCATGAAATTAAGAGAAAAAGCGCCCTAGTCAGTTTGGCTCAATGGACAGAGCATTGGCCTGCAGACTGAGGGTCCCAGGTTCAGCTCCTGTCAAGGGCACGTCCCTCAGCTGCAGGCTACTCCCCAGCCCAACCCCTGGTCAGGGCACATGCAGAAGGCAACCAATCGATGTGAGAGAAACACACAAATGTCTTTCCCTCTCCTTCCACTCTCCCTAAAAATCAATGAATAAGTATTCTCAAGAGAGGATTTTTAAAAACTTAGAAAGAGAGCAAGTTTTTAGAAAACATTATCAAGACCAATTAACTAGCCCTAGCCCTTTTGACTCGGTGGATAGACGTCAATCTGGAGACTGAAGGGTCCCAGGTTCGATTCCAGTCAGGGGCACAGGCCTGGGTTTCGGGCTCAATCCCCAGTGTGGGGTGTGCAGGAAGCAGCCAAACAATGATTCTCTCCCATCACTGATGTTTCTATCTCTCTCTTCCTCTTCATTCCTCTCTGAAATCAACAAAAAATATTTTTTTAAAAAGACCAAACAATTATTTTAAGTATTTTTAAAACAGATTGTAACTGAAGCATAATTCATACAATTCCATTTCATAAGAGTAAGGAAGTTCAGTCCTATAAACTCTCCTATAGAATCCATTTTACATGTGCTGGAAGCCAAACTTCTCACTTTCCCTCAAAAAGCAAACTAAAATTTCCAGTTTAAGCGTGACCAAAAATTTTAAATTACTTTATTCGTTCAAAAGGCTGAACTTTTTATGTTATCTTTCACATCTTACAAATAAGATTTCTGGCCGGAAGCAAATGTATGCCTGAGACCCAGAAACTACCAGCACTAGTTCAAATTAGCCACCCACCCCCTGAAGATATTTAGAGGCAAGAGATACTGAAGATTTGGCAAAGTTAAGCATTTATTTTAACCAAACTCCATTAAGACAGACCATTTTATTATGCTCACGAAGTATTGGGGAGGGGGGGCGTTTGATTTTTCATAGCTGTGGGACTCAGACCTAAGATTTGTACAATGCGTAATACCTGAGAAGGGCTTGTGAGGCTCAAATGAGTTAAGCTTAAGTACTTATAAATTAAGGGTAACAGAGGTAATGTATATACATATGAAAACATATAGTTAGATATGTGAATATGCAGTCTAAATCCATAAGACTAATACTTCCTTTCCCAGTTTAACTTGTTCAGCATTATTTGGAGCAAACCAATACAGCTGACCCTTGAACCACACAGGTATGTATAAATTGCATAGGTCCACTCACGTGTGATTTTTTTTTTTCAATAAATACCTCAAATGCATCTTATGATTTTAATAACATTTTTTCTCTAGCTTACTTTACTGTAAGGACAAAGTATGAAATACTTAAATAACATACAAATTGAGTCTCTCAATTATGTTATCAATAGCACTTCCAGTCACCAGCACACTTTCCGTAGTCAAGTCTTTGGGGAGTCAAAGTCACACAAAGGCTGTCAGCTGCATGGGGGTGTTAGTGCCCTAACCTCTGCGTTTCTCAAGGGTCAACTGTACAGAGAACAAGCACAGATGGCCCAAATAAAGAAGTCACATGAAAGCACTTTTAAAAGCTCATGCATCTTATGCACACAGAACTCTCCTCTCAGGAGCCCTAAATTGTCTAAAATCAAACGAATCCTAACAAGATCAGTAACCTGATTTTTAGTTCCCTAGGAAATTGAAATGGGCAGATTTAAAAAACAAAAAAGAGGGAAAGGCAGATAGCGTTCTGACAAAGTATAACAACTTATTACAGGAGACAACAAAGTATAAAAAGCAAACACATAAAAACAAAAACAGCAAAAATGTCTGAGTTCACCTAGCTTAGGGTCACAACTCGCCATCTTTAAATCATTTTACCACACTATTAAAACGGATATTCTCAACAAGAGCTAAAATGTGCAATGTTCTTTATTTACTAAAGCAAATATACAATTCATTTAAACATATTTTGCTGGCAATTCAAAGGTTAATGTCTTGAAGTTTAAAGTTCGACTCTGGTTCTTGATTGGGGGGGGGGGGGGGGGGGGAGGTATCTTCTCTGTAAACTGTTTAAATACAAATGCGTTTGTTTCACCGCCACGGAGAGTGCTGAATAACTGACAAATATTTGTGTGAGGTTAAATGTCCTTTACTCAGCCACATTTAACAGGTCAAGCGGACAAGAAAATGTGTTTTAGCAAACTTAAGGTTGTAGATACAAAATATAATAAGTTTAAAAGAAATAACTTGCACCAAAGAACTTAATTTATAAAACAAAGACTTGCCTATGGAAGAAACTAAGAACAGAATCCCAACTCAGTGTAAATCTTAAAAACCAGAATCAGTGTTCAGTTCCTCAAATCCCTCCTACCAAAACAATCAAGTAGCACTAAATTGTTGCTGTTCAAAAAGAAATGCAATCCCTATTTCATTCTGTCAGGCTTCAGGCACTCAGATGCCTTCAGAGATACTTTCAAGTATTAATGTAATATTAATGTAAATTAATGTAATAGCAATTAATGTAATAGCAATTAATATTTCCCAAATTAATGTAATAGCAATTAATGTAATAGCAATTAATATTTCCCAAATTTAAAATTTATCTATTTCCCATAACAAATTTAAGTATAAAATTATGCTCCAAATAAATTAAACCCTATTTTAAAAATTCCTAAGAACATTTAATTTAGTTACTATTATGACTTAATAACTATTTACCCCTAAAAAAGTATCTTGTAAGTAGGTTTCCTATTTCATACATTAATATTTTTCCTGGGTAGATCATAGCTCCTATGAGTGAAAATTTAATTATCTCTGACAAAAATCCTTGCTATTCCATCTTTAAGTAACTCTGGACCAAGACTTATAGTTCATTATTTTTAAAGTTTTTTAAACATTTTAAGGCTGAAGTATTCTATACATATGTACTCCTTGAAATTATAAATTATTAATCTCACACCTTAAACATTCTGGCTTTTTTCCTATATCTTCCCTTCCTTGTTTCCTAGTGAAATCAAACACCTAAAATAAGTATTGACAGTTACTATGTCAGTAACTTATTCTATTGCTTCTTAAGTGTCGATTTGAAGATCCCTTAAGGAAAAACATAAAAAAAAATTTCTTAGGACTATCTTAAGATTTCACAGCACAATGTTATTCCTTTCACAGGGACCACTGATCTCTTCTGGAAAAAGATATAGTCAGAAGACAAATAAAATCTCCTCCATATTTCTCTCCCAAGAATGGCAAGCAGATATTTTACACAATTTAAAATCTTAGACAAAACAAATACTTGCACGACATACCTCAAGTAAGGTTTAACCAACTTTGACTCAAGGGAAAACTAAGAATTTCAACTCAGTTGTACAGCGAATCTTTAGAGTAGGTCATACATGTTAAAGACAAAGTCAAGGCCAGCCTGTGTGGCTCATGTGGTTGGAGTATTGTCCCGTCCAGTGGAAGGGTCCATTTCTGATCAGAGCACATGTCCAGTTCCCACTCAGGTGTCCCCTGGAGGGAACTGATATGGCTCACATGATGATTCTTTCTCCCTTTCTCTCTTAAAAAATAAATTAAAATCTGTAAATACTCTAAAGTATAATCAAAGTATTTACTAGAAATTTGAGAAAATGTTTTGAAGAAATTCAATTTGGTATAGACAAAATTAGCCAATCATTATCATGATTTCAAATCTGTTTTCCAAGAATTAATCAGTCTACTGAAGAGCTGACAGATGCTATTTGGCACAGATTAAAAGACAGCCTAAAAGTTTTAAAAGAGAAAGATTAAGCAAGCTTAAAAAAAAAAAAAAAAACTTCCAAGTTCTAGTAATACAAACTTATTCAAATGGATAACACTATCAAGCTTTGTTCAATTTCAACAGTAATCTTTCCTAAAGTAAAGAAAGACACTTAAGTACTTTCAAGAACTTCATTTTACCCACCTCTCATTCTATGAGGAAATGAGATAGGAAAAAGAATGAACTTAGCTTCATCTTTGATTCTCAGGGATTAAAAGATGTTGCTACTTGTCAACAAAACCAATTTATTACTCTCCACACAAGTAATTATGTACTCTATTATGTAGTTTTTAAAGTATCAGAATATATGTTCATTAGCTTAAATGTTCAAAAGTACTCCCTAAACACTGATTCAAATAAAAAACAAACAAAAATTGTCTGCCAAATGGAAAAGCACAACTTATGGGGAATAAGTAATAAACAAGAACATTCAATGTTATGCTATTTAACTGTTTGCTGGCAAGGTAGTGCTCCCAGAACACAACAATAAGCTGGCTCCATCACTGCTATTTCATGCAAAAGATACAGAAACAAAACACAGAGACATCATGAAGGTCATCATTCTTGTTTTTAATTGGGGAAATAGCATAAAGCAATCTTACTTAGATTATTACAAAACACAATCCACAAAATCAAATGGTCAGGAAAGTTTCAACCATTAAAGAAAAAAATTTAAGTGGGACTTTGGCAAGTTTTCAGCTCAGGGCAAATAAAAGTGCAAGTCCAATTTTTTTATAAAGATTTATTGTAACTTACAATTTCATCAAAACCAACACAATCAGGCTTTTAACCTGTACTAAGGTGTTAAACCATTATATTAAAACCATTAGTAAAAACTATTACCCCAACCTAGATTCAAAAAAAAAAAAAAATTATTTGTGGAGATATTTAAAGGGGCTTTATTGACATTAGAGGAAAACCGTAGGCCAATTGTATGCTGTGACTACTGAAAACATTTAACTATAATGACACTTTATTAGCTTTGCCTGTTATAGGGACTTTTAATGATGAAATAGCTGAAAATACTTCGTTTCTTAGTAGAGAATATTAACTACAACAGTTAATATTCTCTATTAACAGTTCACTCCTTTGCCAGGGCATACAGATTTTGAGGTTTGGTGAGGACTAACAGTATCTACAAAACTGAAGTTGCTACAAATGTAGGAGTCTGTTACAGAAGGCAGCAAACTGCTGGGGCCATGCTTCACCTTGACAGATTAAAAAATAAGGTCTTAACTACAAACAGTGCAACCTTTGTGACAGGCGAGGACTGTAGAAGATGTTTAAGGAAAATTCAGAACTACATTCATCCAGCAAGAAGAGACTGCACATAAGAACCATTACTTAAGAGAGCAACATGTCCGACATGCCTTAAAATACATACTTGTACTTTTGAAAGAAGTTTGGAGCTTCAAAAAGTTTGGACCACTCTCCCTTACTCAGCAAAATTTCATCTGTGATAGCAAGACCTAAATTAAAAACATATTAAAATGTTTGCATAGTTCAGTCTAACAACCTAGAGTTTTAAAGATCTTAAACATACCACATGCGTTCCCTAAAACCTAAAATAATGTTAACAAAAGGCAATTTTAGTCAATAGTTTCAGAGCATAAAATTCTTACATAAATACTTTTCAAAACAGCTGGAGGACTTGAGAGCCCAGCCTGGTATATTACCATTAGTCTAAAATTCCATGCTCATAAAATGACTTCAAAAACTGACTTTGTCTTTCAAAAACATGCTTCCTGCTGACTCTAAAAGAACAGGAGGCTGTTTAGACCACAGAAAAGCATGGTCCCCTGGGTGTTTGAGCTGGAAGTTGTACAGCTAATTCTACTTCCTAGGCTGTAGTCTGTCCAATCAAACAATCCCTTCCTCAAAGACCAACAGCAGCTGTACTTTCAAACAAACAATACTTTTGGGGTTCAGAAAAGTTTAGTTTCTTCCAAAATAATGAGCAGTTTGAACCCAATCCTGCCCTAAGTTCTTTCCAAGAATATAGTTTGCTAAAAACAACTCATTTCATGGGATTATTTAAAATTTTACATGGCAATCGTATATGGCACTAAACCAACCCCAAAAAGCCCTGCTAAGAATATGGCTTTAAATACTGGTTAGTGTCACTATATAATCAAAAATAATTAAAAATTCCTGCCTAAAAGGAATTAAACTTATTTTTCATATTAATTCCCAAATACAAATTGTAATCAATAAATAAAACCACCAAAAATCTACCTTGGTGAATTCTTTCTTCAACTTAAATTGTATACCCAATTACGGGTCTACAATGACTATGCAAACCCTGTGTATAAAGGAGAGCATAAGGATAACCACTTACCTTGTTTAAACTCCTCAACCATGACCATCCGTGTTGAAACGGACACATTGTACGTGGAGTTCTGTTGTGGGTATGCTGGTGTAATTATAGGCATAAGATGGTACCTATCACTGGGGTTTACCTACATATAATAACAGCCAATCAGTTTCTTCAAGTACATAGGCAATAGATACTTGGACTTTTTACCCCTTGTTAAACTGAACCAATGATTAAATTTTATTTCATTCTTAGCTGGAGTTGAGAAAGAAAAATCATGTAAGGAGACATTGTTTTTAAAGGAATTCTTTATAGAATCTGGATTTGGTGGAGCTAACGGTCTGTTCAATCACTCAGGCATGACTACTTTGGTAACCTCACTCTACAGAAAGTGTGCCTGCCCAGCAAAAAGGTCCTACTTGGACAGCTAGTTTTTCTTTTTTCAACAACAGAAATGGGGATGCACACACAATTACACTTTTCAGGAATGTCTTACTCCAATATTCTGTGTAAAACAAATTTAAACAAGATGAAAACTTATACTTCAATATATCCTCAACGTATAAAGAATTAAGCTTATTAACACATGGTGAAACTATTGTTTTCCATGTTGGTATCCTTTTACGAGAAAATGAACTGATTCAGTAACTATTTATCTTAATCCATATACTATGGATAAGTGGTATATTTCCACAAAGAAAACTATAAACTCACATTTCTCCAAAAATGCCTTTGGGTATGGAAAACTTGAAAATATACAACTTGAAATAATTAACAGAACTTGAAGCTAATTAATTTTGATACTGTAGTAAGATAACAAGACAATGTAGAAAAATAGAATTTTATAAACCTCTAAAGCCTTATTCAAACCTAAATATTTGACCTATTAAAAAAGTGCATGTTAACATTTAAATGGAGTGAGCAGTAAAGACCGGAACTTCCCACAGTGGAAGCTCTTTAGCACCACCTTGTTTCTGTAATCTGAAACACCCACAGGTAAATATTAAGCAACAGTTTTCCTAAAACAACCCAATTTTAACAATATTTAGATCAAATAAAAAAATACAGGGATTTTTAGTATCCTTTTATTTTTTTTTTTAAAGCACAAATGCCCGCACACTTTAACTTACAAAGTAGTTCTATATAAAATAAATTAAAATGTTAGTGAACTTGATTATTATAAATATGTACAATTAAATGTAGTTGACAGGGTACATAATTATGCTTCTCACATCAGAAGACAATCAGAGTTGAAGTTATCTAAGAGAGTGTAATACGAACATGTCCACTCATAGGTAGAAGGATGCAAAGTGTCCCTGAGTTTATGCAGATGACTTTACTTGTTATTGCACAGTGTGAATTTGTAGGGGAAAAAATAATACACTAACCCTTGGGTCCCATACAGGCAAATTAAGATTGCATTCTTCAGGCTGTTTCAATAGCACTGGATTTGGCCATTCCCTGTTTAAAAAGATTGTAGCACTTGATAAGACTTGGATATTACCATCTAAACGTATTTTGTTAAACATACAGCATTGTGAATGTGCTCCTTCTTCATTCATTTTTCCCTCTGGTTTACATACTCTTTTATTCCTGTTGATGTTAAACTACTTGAACACTTTTCCTCTATGACATTAGCTTAAACCACTTGGTAGCTTTCTCACTGAAGTCAAACATCTTGTCTGCCCCTCAAAGAACTGATAATGCACTATTTAAATTAAAAAGTACTACTCCAATACATCTGACATGTTCGCCTCAACCCCTATAGGTAAATCCTCTTGAAAGACAAAAACACTACCTTTATACTAGCTTATTCCAAAGACAACTGAGAATGAAAAAGTTAACTCATTATAGGCAAAGCATAAATAATTGTAAAAATTGATTATGACATTTTTCTCTGCCGCATAACTAAAGGTTATGAGTATGTGTAATAAAAACTTGTGACGTGAACATATTATTTTCAAGATGCACGCTGAGTTAGCCACTTCAGTCCTTTATGGAAGAGATTAAAAACTGGAAAACATTTGCCATTCTTCATGTCAAGGTTAACATCTTTAACATTATATTTGTTAAGGATGTGTAGCATTAAGAAAAATTCTGACTATCTTTAGTTATTCTCATCAAACCTGATTATACATTATAAAGTACTATCAAAACCATAAAGAACAGAATGTGTCTTTAAAAGTGTGGCACATGCTTTACATTATTAACTGTATCAAAATAAACCTCTGATTTTTATAAAATAAATAGAAAAGACTCTTTTTGTTCCAGAGGGAAGAGGTATAGGAGTGGGCAGGCACAGAGGAAAGATAATTCTCTAAAATTTGATTAAAACCAAAAACCCTGAGCTTTTGGGCCAGCCAAAGCAACTAATACAAAATGCAAATAACCTTTTATCTTATTATTCTTTAAAAAAAAAAAAAAAAAAAAAGTGGACCTAGCTGGTTTCGGTCACTTGATAGTGTCAGGCCTGTAGAGCAAAGGGTGCCAGGTTCGATTCCGGACAAGGTCACATGTACGTAACCTTGGTTGCAGGCTCATCCCCAGCCCAGGCCCTGGTCAGGGCATATGCAGGAGGCAACCAAACGATGTGCTTTTCTCACATCAATGTTTCTCTCTGGCTTTCACTCTCTCTTCCATTCTCCCTAATAGTCACCAGAAAAGTATCTTCTGGTGAGGATTAACAAAACAAAACAAAACAAACAAACAAAAAAATAAATAGTGAACTTCCTAAAATAAAAGTTAAAGAAAAATCTGTGCAGGGTTAATGAATAATCTCAGAGTGGTCAATTAATTGCCTTTTTTTCAAACAGTTAGTTATTCTTAAAAGCTTTTTATACAGCCCGGCCGGGGTGGCTCAGTGATTGTCACCCCATGAACCCGAAGGTCATGGTTCCATTCCCAGGTTGCGGGCTAAATCCTCAGTGGTGGGAGTGCAGGAGGCACCAATCAATGATTCTCTCTCATCGTTGATGTTTCTATCTCTCTCTCCATCTCCCTTCCTCTGTAAAATCAATAAAAATATTTTTTTAAAAAGCTTTTTATATAGTTTGCATCTTAATGTGCAGATGAAAGCAAAAACAATCAAGAAACTAAGGAACTACAGGTTTAGAATAATTCAGAGAGTAAAAGTTTATATAAGTTTATCCAAAGTAGCTGATATCCCAGCCTATCAAGTCACTAAGTTACAGACATTACAACTAAAATTCAAGAGTTTATTTAGAGAGTAAGTTTATGCAGGAGGTTCAAATAGCAACTGCCTTCCTATCCTTAAAAAGCTAGGGAAAAGGAATGGAATTAAGTTTGCGTTTTATATACAACATGACCTACCCCCAAGACTACCTAAAGAGCTACAACATGATCTACAATTTGAATCTGAAATCAGCTGCAGAAATGTCATAGAAATAAGACTGAACTTCAGTGTCTATAATCAATTTTATTTTAATATAATCTAAACACATACCATTTAGAAAATACCAAGAAAAATTTATGTACAAGAGTTGATGCTATTGCATTTGGGTAAAGCTGGCAAGTTCTTGCTACTAGCATAGCCCAGGAAACACCACCGAGGAAACCTAATATATTGGAATAGATGTTGTGGCCTGTTGGTAAGGGAGAAGCAGAAAGAAAAGTCAGTGTTGAACAAAAGCTTAAGTCGTTTTAATAAGGTAGCCAACAAATTCTGAACTCACGTTTGGCCCACAGTTTGATAGCTCTCAGAGTTAACCTGAAGTTGTCAATGTTTGGTACTAGGTGTAAAATTTCATCGGTTACCCTGCAACCTGATTAACAGGAGTGAAAAACAAAACATTAAATCATCAAAAATGTAATGATAATATTTCTTTTAAATTTCTGAGATTAATGTCAAACTTAAAAACTTTATTGGTAGAATCAGTAATGTTAATTAAAGAGGCAAATAAAAAACTCTTAAAACCTTCATCTCCCATTAAAAGCAGTACCCTCAACCAAAGAATCTAAACTGTATCTTTCAACTCATAATGAAAGCTTCTAGTCCAGAAATACTGAGGAAGGACTGAGCCACTTAAATCGCAAAGAATTGTTCCTTAAGAGGATGGTAACAAGCAGTGCTAATACCAAAGTGTTCAAAGGCAATATTTTAAATACAACAATTGAAAACATTACAAAGGACATCGGTATCAAAATTAATTAATTATAAAACCAAATCATTAGCAATAGAGTGCCAATGTCAGGCAGTCTTTTAATATCCCAGGAGATTAAAAAAATAAAACATGTTAAAAATGAATAAAAAGTGTTTAAAAATCAATAAAATAAATTACCAAATACCTCTACAGTCTGATAAATAAGGTACATTCAATTTGAATAACTATGGATAAACAATATGCCTACAAAAGGCTTCATTATTCAACCTGAGTTTAAACTATTTCATATTTGACAAAAACTGCTACTATGCAAAAAAAAAAAAAGTAGATTTTCACATACCGTTAAGACTTCTTATGCATCTTATATCTAGATTTTTAAGCAGACTGTCATCTCGTAAGTCCAAGTCTTCTGGAATAGTCTGCAGTGCTAATCTTGCAAATAAAATATCAATCTAAAACAAAAATAAAATTCAACATTCTGTATCTATCAAATTATTTATTTTTAAATTTTCTTTAAAAAAGAAAGCAATTATAACCCATAAAGCCAGGATCTTCTTATCAATTATCAACATGACAATGCCTCCAAGAGCCCAACCAGTATTAATTCTATCATAGGTATTTTAATCAGATGTTAAAACATGGCAATATGAAACAGAACATGCATAAATACCTATTTGTCACTTTAATCATATTAAGTTTGATTTCCTATAAAATGCATCTACTAAATTTACTAAGTTTGCTAAATGCATATGCTGGATCACTTAAAATTTATGGCATGCCCTATCACAGCTTAACCAAACAAACTGCAGCTCTGGTCAGACAGCTCCAAAAACTCCAAACCCCAAGCAAAGAGGAGAAAACTTTAGTTCCGGCTGTAGCTCCTGCTGGGTGGCCTCAGACAGCAGCTGACCTGCACCCCACTGGAGATCCAGAAGCCAGTGTATCTAGTGGTCTGTGTGAGACACCAGATTTCAACTACTCTTATAAGGGCCGCATTCACCAAAGCCCCTCTGGAACAAGTCCTGCCCCATAAGCGTGTCTCCAGCACAGCAATTCTTCCATTATAGACACAGCGGGTCCTCAGCCAATTGGCCTAGAGGTCAATTCCCAGTGACGCCAACAACAATCAAGACTTAACTACAACAAGTCTGTACACACAGTCCACAAAGGGGTGCACCAAGAGTGTCCACCTCAGGTAACTGGGAGGCTGACCCAGTGGACACCTCGCACACAAAGCTACCCTACCAACTCAGGGAAGCAGTAAAAATGAGGAGACAAGGAAACAGATCACAAACAAAAGAAAAGCAAACGACTGGATATAGAGTTTAAAAACATGGTTATAAAGTTTTTCCAAGAATTTCCTAGAAAAGGCCAATAAATTTAGCAAGACCATCAAGGATATGAAAAAGGACCAACCAGAAATTAAGCATACACTGAATGAAACAAAGAATACTATACAGAGACTCAACAACAGACTAGAGGAACGCAAGAATCAAGTCAAAGATTCGAAATACAAAAGCAAAAAACACTTAGGAGCCGAAGCCGGTTTGGCTCACTAGTAGAGCGTCGGTCTGCGGACTGAAGGGTCCCGGGTTCGATTCCAGTCAAGGGCACGTACATTGGTTGCGGGCACATCCCCAGTAGGGGCTGTGCAAGAGGCAGCTGGTCGATGTTTCTCTCGCATCGATGTTTCTAGCTCTCTATCTCTCTCCCTTCCTCTCTATAAAAAAATCAATAAAATATATTAAAAAAAAAAAAAAAAAACACTTGGGGGAAAAAAAAGAAAAAAGAATCCAAAAAGCAGAAGATGGTGTAAGAAGCCTCTGGGACAACTTCAAGCACACCAACATCAGAATTATAGGGGTGCCAGAAGGAGAGAGCAAGATACTGAAAACCTATTTGAATAAATAATGACGGAAAACTTCTCCCACCTGGTCAAAGAAATAGACTTACAAGTCCAGGAAGCGCACAGACTCCAAACAAAAGGAATCCTAAGAGGACCACACCAAGACACATCAATGCAAAGGGCAAAATGCAAAGAGAGAATCTTACAAGCAGCAAGAGAAAAACAGTTAATTACCTGTAAAGGTGCACCCATACAATTATCAACTGATTTCTCAACAGAAACTATGCAGGCCAGACGGGAGTAGCAAGAAATATTCAAAGTGATGAATAGCAAGAACCTAGAATCAATATTACTCTACCCAGCAAAGTTATCATTCAAAATTGAAGGTCAGATAAAGAGCTTCACAGATAAGAAAAGGCTAAATAAAGGAGTTTATTGCCACTAAACCAGTATTGTAAGAAATGCTGAAAGGTAGTCTTTAAGAAGAGGAAGAAGAAAAAAGTAAAGATAAAAATTATAAACAACAAATACATATCAACAAGTAAATCAAGTGAAGCCGAGACTGGTTTGGCTTAATGGATAGAGCCGTCGGCTTGGGGACTGAAGAGTCCTGGGTTCAATTCCGGTCAAGGGCATGAACCTTGGTTGTGAGTATATCTCCAGTGCGGGCATATCTCCAGTGTGCAGGAGGCAGCTGATCGATGACTCTCTCTCATCGATGTTTCTAACTATCTCTCTCCCTTCTTTGTACAAAATCAATAAAATATATTTAAAAAATAAATAAATAGCCGAGACCGGTTTGGCTCAATGGATAGAGCGTCGGCTTGGGGACTGAAGGGACCTGGGTTCGATTCCGGTCAAGGGCATGTATCTTGGTTGCGGGCATAACCCCAGTAGGGGGTGTGCAAGAGGCAGCTGATCGATGACTCTCTCTCATCGATGTTTCTAGCTTTCTATCTCTCTCCCTTCCTCTCTGAACAAAATCAATAAAATATATTTAAAAAAATAAATAAATAAAAATAAAAAATAAATAAATAAAATAAAAATCGAGTGAACTAAAAATCTGACGAACAGAATAAACTAGTGAATATAATAGAATCAGGGGCATAGAATGGGAGGGGATTGATAATTCTCAGGGGGAAAAGGGTGTGGGGGGTGCAGGAAGACTGAACAAAAATTGTACACTATGGATGAGGACAAAAATTGTACACTATGGATGAGGACAGTGGGGAGGGAGGTAAGGGCAAAGAGTGGAGTGGGAACCAGATGGAGGAGAGCTATGGGGGGAAAAGAAGAAACAATTGTAATAATCTGAACAACAAAAATTTATTAAATAATAAATAAATAAATAAATAAATAAATAATACATTGTATTGTCTTAATGAGACTAAATATATACAAAATTTGTATATGGAAAAACTACCAAGCAAACTATTTTGTAGCAGCATTTCATTGTTCAGTTCCATTACTTCTGCCTATATTTTAGCTCCTAATTTCACTACTCTTTTATTTATTTTTTTTTAAATATATTTTATTGATTTTGTACAGAGAGGAAGGGAGAGAGATAGAGAGTTAGAAACATCGATGAAAGAGAGTCATCGATTAGCTGCCTCTTGCACACCCCTACTGGGGATATGCCCGCAACCAAGGTACATGCCCTTGACCAGAATCGAACCCAGGTCCTTCAGTCCCCAAGCCGACGCTCTATCCATTGAGCCAAACCAGTCTCGGCTTCACTACTCTTTTAAAAGACTAAAAATGCTATTCTGGTAAGCAGTCACTTTCATTTAAAAAAATTAAGTGTGTTCAATGGTTAAAGCGTCCACCCTCTCAAGACAGGGTCACAGGGTCAATCCCTGGCTCCAATCAGGGAACACTCAGGCGGTAACCAACTCTCACATCTCTTTTTCCTCCCCTCCTTCCCTCCCTCTCTAAAAATCAATGGAAAAAACATCTGTGGGTGATGATAAACAAAACAACAAAAACCCTTAATTCCTACTAATATCACACCAATTCACCGATTATAAAACTTTAAAATAAATCAAGTTTTTAACCTATATTGATCAATTACACATAGCAAAAGCCACCTTACCTCTATCCCATCAAAACACAGTTTGATAACTGGCACAAATGCCTCTTCAACAGCCTGAAAGAAAATCCAACAAGTTTAATGTCTCTGAAACTATAGATTGGATCTACACTAATTTTAGTATTTTTTAATGAATGTGGTATTTGAAATTGTTTGAAAACAATTTAGAATAGTTTCTGACAGAGTAGATTCTCCACAACTAGCTTTATCACAATAGAACCTTGAATTAGACAAGCTTAAGTTCAAATCCTTGACTTCTGCCACTCAGATATGTTCTTGTCTTATTTTCTACTCTGTCACCAGATTTATGATTTCAGATTTATTGCAAAAAATAAAATGCATGTTTTGAGGGAGTATAAACACTTCAAAAATAACAATCAAAAAGCAAAATGGAGGAAAAAAAAAAAAAACTAGAACTGGGAAACATTAAAAAATAAGAAATTGCTGGCCGATGTTGCTCAGTGGTTGGGTGTCAACCTGTGAACCAGGAGGTCACGGTTCCATTCTGGGTCAGGGCACATGCCAGGGTTGCAGGTTCGATCCCCAGTACAGGCGTGCAGGAGGCAGCCGATCAATGATACTCCTCATTGATGTTTCTATATATCTCTCCCTCTTCCTTAGTCTCTCTGAAACAAATAAAAACATATATGTGCATATATATGTGTATATATATATGTATATATATCTTTTAAAAAATAAATGTATTATTAGAAATAGAAAGACTGAGATCTCGTACTTCCTTTTTTACTCTAGTTCCATATTGCTTTCATCATGTTATGAATCCTTCACTACATTTACTTAAAATGTCCAGGTTGGCTATTGAGTTCAAATTACAAATAAAGTAATTACATTATTTGGAAAATAAAATAAAATATAAAAAAATAAAAAGCAAGCATACACGTTATGTACTTAAAAGGGTTTAGCAAATTTTAAGAGTTCAACAAATGATGTCTATATCATAAAACTCTGAACTAATTTTTATAACTCCTCCCATTTCACCCCAAACATTTACATACTCGTAAATCTTTTACTTCTTCCTGTAATTTCAATTTATCATAGAATGAGGTGAAAAAGTCACTTCGATCAACATGCCTTGGTGCAACACACAACGCATCAATATCGGCACCTAGAAAAGATTAAGACCATCAACCATTAATTTCTATTATTAAAAAAATTACTTTGAGTCTTACTATGGCAGTATTTGATGTTGAAAAGCTGTTAATATTATATTGGTCAATCTCTAAAAAATGTACCACTCCCCTTTAAAAAAAAAAAAATTACAAATCAATATAGGAATAAAGGATTCTAATTAATGGGATACGGTATGTTTTTTCCTGTAGCATCTCTAGTTGCAGTGGCCCAGGTGAGCTGGGAGACAAAGAAAGGTAACTAAGATAGGACTTTTATGATGAAGAGTAGGAATTATTCAAGAATAGACCCAACATCTTGATGTCATTAGTCATACACATGTCCATTAGTGAAACAAAGAAAGTTTTCTTCTTTACATAATGTAACTAGTTCTTATAGGCTCCTACCTGTCCCCTAAATGGGATAAATAGGATAAACATCAAGAAGGACCACTGGCAAAAATCCAATGAGGCAGACAATGAATGGTAAAATATCTGTTATTAATTTCATGTTTGATAGCAGGTCAGCACTGAGTACACAGGAAGAACAATCAGTAACTGAGATCATAAAAGGAAGAGATAAATGTGTAATCAGGTTAACATAGACTTTTTCCTACAAGACTCAACTACCATGAAGGCTGTTATTTACCATATTCATGAAGAGAATAGCACATACTAGTAGTACACTACTGGCACAAAGTAGTGGGAGATGGGGAGAAGGAAGGATGCTGGAACAAAAAACACATATTCACTAAGTGGCCAGATTATTATGATCTCTGAATGCACAATATTCTGGCCACTCAGTGTATATCCTATATAATAAAAGGTAATATGCAAATTGTCCCCTGGACCAGGAGTTTGACCAGCAGGCAGGCCAGCCAACTGCCCATGTCCCCTCCCATGCACAAATTCATGCACCAGGGCTCTAACACACACACACACACACACTCTGAGTGCCAGATTATTATGCGTTCAGAGATCATAATAATCTGACCACTCAGTGTATATTGGCAGGTAACTTTTAACATAGAGGCCAGTGGTTAATGGTTGAAAAGTACAGCCAGTAAATTCCCAAGAAGAATCCAAGTTCTGCTAAGATGGCTAGATATAAGTTATTCAAGCTTTATTGCCTCTTTAAGTCCCAGACTCTTATATATTTTACATATTACATGAGAATAAGAGTACTGAGGAATAGCCCTAGACGGTTCTAATCTTTTCATTTTTATATATTACATGAGAATAAGAGCATTGAGGAATAGCCCTAGATGGTTTGGCTCAGTGGATAGAGCATTGGCCTGCAGGCTGAAAGGTCCTGGGTTCAATTCCAGTCAAGGGCAGCTCTATTGTCAGTAGGGGGTGGGCAGAAGGTAGCCAATCAATGATTCTCTCCTTCTACCTTACTCTGAAATCAATAAAAATATATAAATAAAAATTTGTCTTTAAGCAGCTTTAAAGAAAAAGAGTACCGAGAAATAAAGAAGATAATGAAAACCAAAAATGTATTTGTGTCATGCTCAGTAAAAAGAAAAGGCTCTATGTTCTCTACCATGACAACATTTTTATTGTATAGTAGGAGCCCAGCACGTAATTCAAAAATCACGTGACACTGCCCACCCTCGAGACGCCGGTCCAGCCCTGCCTCGCTCCCCAGGCCCCACAGTGGCGGCAGCTGCTGCCGATCTGACCCTGCCTCACTCTCCAGTCCTTGAAGCAGCCACGGCTGCTACTGATCAGGCCCTCCCTCAATACAGCTGCATGGAGGCCCCTGCTGCCATGCCCCCAACACTGCGCACACAACCTCCTCCTGTCCAGTCAACATATTACAGTGTCCCAGTTAATCAGCATATTTCTCTATTATCTATATATTCACAAAACCCTAATATGCAAATAGACCAAACTGATCAACTGGGCTGAGACTCTCCCATGCCCACCGCAGCCTCGCAGCTCACAGTTCTTTTCAAGGTGTACAAATTCGTGCACTGGGCCCCTAGCATATATGTACAGATTTATATGCAGAGAGAAAAGTGTCAATGAGAAAATATTAACAATTGTCAATGGCTACAGATAAACATTTTTTGTTTTGCTTACCTGTATTTTACAACTATAATAAAAACATGGGGAAAAGAAAACCCATAGGATTTTTAAAACACTAATTCATTTTTGTTCTGATTTCCAGACTGATAATTCTTCAGGCAGAAGAAATGGCGTAGAGAGCAGCACTGTTCAAAAGAACCCTCCAATGAGGAAAATGTTCTATGTCTGCACTTTCCAATATGATAGCCACTAGCCATACGTGGATATTCAATACTTAAAATGTGGCTACTTCTACTGAGGAACCTAATTTTAAATTTTCGTTAACACTGCACTGAACAGTGCAGGTGTAGCATATATATTTTATTTTTTTTTCTCCTTACTAAATGTAGGCTCCTTGAAGTGTTCTCTTTAATGCAAATGTAAGCTGTAATGATACACCACAGGCAACTAAGATGGATACCTCGTTATAATTTTTTAAGGACTAAAAAAGGTATTCCTTCTCAAAATAATTAAAACAATATTTACCTTTTGTGTGTACTCCTAATCTGTAAGATCCAAATGTAAAAATTTTTCCTCCAACATTTTCAATTACAGATTGTGGAAGATTCTGTTCAAACAAACAACGAATAGTCATTTTCCCAGAACACAAAGAAAATTATTTCAAATAACACTGCATATTAAAAAGTAAGATTTCAGTGCAAAGTTATATAGAAGATAAAAAAGCTTATAAGCTCTACAAAATACCACCAGGCATTAAATCAATCTAATCTGAAATGCAAGTAACTTTCAACTTTTCATGAGTGTTCTTTTGTGAAGATCCTTATTATTTTAGAATCTTGCCACATTTCTGGAAACTGCTTTAAAGACTGTGGTAAAGGAGAGCATGTAATTATGCAGGAGCAATGAATCAGCTTTTATTCATGACAAAGATACTGCATGAAGCACTGCTTATATTCAATGATTACACCAAATATTCCATAGTGCATTAAAATATAATTTAACAGATCAAAGTGACTGACGTTGAGGCAAATACTGCTCCACAATAGTTTACTGTTTTTGATTTCCTTGACTTTGGAGAATGGTTCTGAGCAGAACTAAACTTACTGATAATTTTTTTTAATAGAAGCATCAAAAATAGAAGAAAAGCATTACAAACCATCTTTCCTTTAAAAACAAAACAAAAAACACCATCTTTTCTTAAATGAGTCAAATGGATTCCACACATAATTCTAAGAATACATTTCCTTTACCAGAAGCACAGTCACGGATTCCTCAATGTGTATGATTTTTCATAATTAAGGATTATGAACTCAGGGAATGTTATTTTAAAAACTAAATATTCATTTTGAGAGTCTAATACCTAAAAAATGCCCATTGTCATAGGATTCCTTAAAAGGTAACAAGACTCAAATATTTAATATACATTTTTAAAGCACTTTTCCAGGGATATACCTACCACTTCAGTAAAGTATGTTAGTTTTGAGTGTTGCAACCAAAAAATGCTTTTAAAAAATAATGTTTAGAAATTACTTTTTCCTGCTTTCAAAATAACTAGAAACAAAATGTAAACTATGTTATTAAGACTAAATCTACTTAAAAAAGAACAGCTATGTTCTGTTGGCAAATTATTTCATATACAAATAAGTACCTACCTTGCTTTCACTGATTTCTCGTATCCACTCTTTTACCAGGTTATTTAATTTTCCCAAAATTAAAATCCTGTTGGTAGAACAAATATCAATCAGCAAGTTATTTGTTATTCTAAATTATCTCTATATAAAACGCTAATATGCAAAGTGTCCCCTCTCAAGAGTTCAACCAGGAGACCGGGATTTGATCACTCGCTATGACATGAGATGACCACCAGGGAGTGGCATGGGACAAAGGAAGGCCCTGGCCAGCAGTGCGCAGGCTCCAATCAGCCCTGATCGCTAGCCAGGCCTAAGGACTCTATCTGTGCATGAATTTTGTGAACTAGGCCTCTAGTTACTTATTAAACTACAACAGTTTTCAAAAGGTGGCTTCCTAGGTTTAAAAGTTATCAGAAAGTTAGGTACATAGTAGTTAATAACATGTAGGCATTCCTCTTTCTCTTGACAATTATGTACTATAACAACCAAAAACCTCCAAAAAAATCAAAATTAAGGAAATGGAGCTCTATGTAAAAGTATTTTTCTAAATATCACCCTTGTCTGAAACAGAGATATTTAAAAGGATAATTCAGACTTCCTGAATCAAGAATGCCTCAAAATTAGTCTATCTATACATATAAAAGCCTAAGGGACTATTATGACCGGTCCTATGATGGGTACTGACCACCAGGGTGCAGACACTCAACACAGAAGCTGCCGTTGGTGGTCTGTGCACTCTCACAGCCAACCTCCTATGGCAGCCAACCTCCCACTGTCCCTCCGTCAGGCAGGCAGGCCCCAATTGACCCCAATCAGGGCCAGCCAGCTAATCTCCTACAGCCCCCGCCCGGGACTGGGCAAGACAGCTCCAATCACTGGCCAGGCCAAGGGACCCCACCCGTGCATGAATTCATGCACCAGGCCTCTGGTTATGATAATAAGAAATTATAAATTTTTATATATTTACCTGCGCTGCAGTTCCTCTTCTTCTTCAAAAACCCCATAGGGCTTCAGAGTCTCAATTAGTTTCTGTGTAAGCAGGCAGTCGGTCTCCTTGGGGGCTGCTAAGCTGATAGGAGAGGTAATGCCATAGTGCTTCTGTGGCGGCTGTGTTTGCTGTGATCCCTGCGTTGTAACTGGACTACAAATGAAATTGCATAAAATTACTGTCAAAAAATTTCTAAAATGAGCCCTAGATATTTTGGATAGAGCATGAGCCTGTGAACTGAAGGATCCCAGTTCAATTCCAGTCAAGGGCACATGCCCAGATTGCGGGGTCAACCCCAGTTGGGTGCATAGAGGCAGCCAACCAATGATTCTCTCTCAGCATTGATGTTTCTCTCTCCCTCCCTTCCTCTCTGAAATCAATAAAAACATTTTTAATTTCTACAACTTGACCCAAATCGGCATGATTAGAAAAAAGTGTCAGTAAGACACATTTCTAAACATAGCTGGTTCCCTGCAATACCCCAAAACCCAAGACACTTTCACTTTTAAAAGACCTTTTACTTGCCTTACAACGAAAGTGAGCAAACGAAAACATTATTTCTCCTCCCACTCGAGGAGTCAGTTTGTTACTACCTAAATATCTAAAACTGTAAGAATCCAGATCAAATATACTGCTAAAAAAAAAAATGCGATCTACAATAACAGAAAACTGAGAAATTTTACTCCTTAAAAAGAAGCCCTGCCCAGCTAGAGTGACTCAGTTGAGCATTATCTTGTGCACCAAAGGGTTGCAGGTTGGATTCCTGATCAGAGAACATTCCTTGGTTTCAGTTTCATTTCCCAGGTCAATGTGTGCAGAAGGCAACAGATAGATGTCTCCCTCTCTCGTTCCCTCCCTCAGCATGTCCTTGGTGGGGATTTTTTTTAAAAGAGCCAAAATCTGTTATTTCTGAAACAATACCAAACATATTACAAAAACACTACTTAACAATATAGGAGGCTCCCCAAATGCAACTTAATATCTGCCTCACAATGAATAAAACTCATAAATGAAGAGGGCATATAACAAACATAACTTGAGAGGGGGACTATATTCACACTAAGCTTGTTACAGAACTTTAGTGAGAGATATATACCTCAACATGCTAGTCTAACAGTTTTTCCATTTTAAAAGAAATGCAAATTTTACAACTAATAGAATTTTGATATAGCATGCTTTAAATCATACAAAATCAGGTGGGGACTAAGGGAAGAAACAAACATCTGGATCATTTATTTCTTTCAAACTCTATTCTTTAAGTATTTGTTTTACACACACACACACACACACACACACACACACACACAAATGCACGCATTCCTAGTTTAAGTTCTAAATATACACTTCGTTTTTAAAGTGCAATAATCTACTAAAGCAGTAACAGACCTAATCCAAGAACCCTGGGTAGGTAAGTCCCATAATACATTGACTGCCTATCCACTGAGTTCTGGTTTATACTGTGACCACTACACTGTTTTGTATTTTGTCTTCTGAAAATCAACACAGGCCTAAGAATGCCAGGAAGCCCATACTGCTTGTTACTAATTAGGCAGTGGGCTGTGCATCATCTAATCAATGTGTCCAGATCAACTCAGAAACTGTTTCAATTTTAACAGATTTTACAATAACATTTACTAAATAAATATCAGATTTATTATCTCTTGCAGCAGTTAATTCCTGTCTGATCACTTCCTCCTCCTACTCCATTTATCTAAATTGCACAATTTTTACAAGGCTGTGATGCTAATTCAGAGCTAGGGATCTACATGAGCACCAAGCATTACTGAAGACTAAATATCTTACCTTAATGTTCTACTTTTCAAATTTAAATATACAATTAAAATATACAATTTTAAATATTAAAATATACAATTATACAATTAAAATATACAATTTTAAATATTAAAATATACAATTATACAATTAAAATATACAATTTAACCTAAGTTTAGGTGAGTTCATAATGTCTTGATTGCATATTTTCATCAACTTCCATGACTTCTTTCTGGTAATGGCATTCAAAACTGTCTATAAGTCTACTCTCAACTGCGGGACAATCTGATACAAGAGAAAAAACAGGCCTATTTGTCTCTGATTTCACTTCTACCACTAGCTATATTATTCTTGGTAAGTTTTATCTCTATAGATTTACAATAGAATTTATTATATCTCTTCTCTAAGTTAGATGGCAAGCTAGGAATATTAAAACTATGACACGTGACATTAAAGAGATTTCCAAACATAGAACATTTTTTAACGCAATGCTCAAAGACAGTTCCATCTGCATAGAAGCATAACCAATGGACACAGTAGGGGGTGAGGGTCTGTGCTGTGGCAAAAAAGACTGGACCCCAATGAGACCAATGAAACCGCCAATGCCAACTCCAGTCAGCACATATGGAAGCTGGTCAAAGATGGGCCAATCTTCCAAAAGCTTGTCATTGTCCATTCCCAGGTTCAATGCCAGAAAAATACCGTGGCCCACAGACGGGCAGGCATATGGGCACAGGTAAGTGAAAGGGTACTGCCCATGCAGCTTGCTGTCAAATGCCTGACAAAGTAATTTGGATGAGGAAGATGAGAATTCTTTGCCAGCTACTTAGAAGATACCAGGAATCTAAGAAGATTGGCAGCCACACGTACCACTGCCTGTATTGAAAGTGAAGGGAAATGTGTTCAAAAACAAGCAGATTCTCAGGGGACACATCCACAAGCTGAAGGCGAGGCCCACAGGTGTAAGACCAGGGAAGCAACAAGTGCTGCAAAGCCAAGAAGGAAGAAATCATCAAGACTCTGCCCCAGGAGGAAGAGAACAAGAAATAAAGCCTCACCTTTCTTACCTACACAAAGAGGCTTTGGCAATTGCATTCATCATTTAATGAGCATAGCCTTCAACTACCAAAAGGAAAAGTTTAGGCATCCATTCCTGGTCAGCATACTCAGTGGTTAGACCTTCAGCCTGTGCACCAGGGGTTGGTGGGTGGATTCCTGGTCAAGGTCACAAACCTAGATTGCAGCCCTGGTTAGGGCATGTGCCAAAGGCAATCACTCAATGTATCTCTCACATCCGTTTCTTTCTCCCTCCCTCCTACCCTTCCACTATCTCTTAAAAAAAAAAAAAAAAAAATCAATGAGAAAAGTCTCAAGTGACGATTAACAAAAAATAAACAAAAAAGGTTTAGGCATCCAATTTACCAATACATACACTCTGAAATATCAAGTACACAAATTATAAAGCTAAATCAAAGAGTGCAAGTTCCTATGATTTGTGAACTGCAGTTTAGTAACCATACATTCAAACAAAGTATTATATGATCAATCTTTGGATATATTATTACTGATAATTATTCCTATTCCAAGTCAGTGAAGAATGTTTAAAATACTCAAATGGTTTTGGTATATATATAGTAAAATTTAAATTCCAGATGCCATAATATATTTCAAAACATTAAAAAAATTATAGCTATTTCAAAATGTTAAAGGAAATGAACACAATTTTCAGAACCACATTTAACAAAACACAAATCCCAAAAGCTATAAACAAAACAGATCTGCCTAAATGAAAATATTCTCAACTTTTATATAGCAACAATACATCATAAACAAAGATAAAGCAAATGATGTAAGGAAAATACATGCTACCTTTGCCAAAATAGTAATAGTATAAATACACACACACACACACACACACAATTTCACTGCATATCAGGAAAACAAATTAAGACAACCATTTTCTGCCAGACTGGATAAAAACAAAGTTGATGGGTAGCTGATAAAAATTAAAAACTTACTATGTAGGGGGACTAAATGGTGATGATTGGACTTGCGGTGGTGAACACACATTAAGTGTACAGATGATGTATTATAAATTGTACACCTGAAACCCACATAATTTTATTAACCAATGTCACCCCAATAAATTCTACAATCAAGTTTTTGTATTTTCTTTTTTTAAGAATAAGGTAGTTATTACGTGTAGGTTGCACGGATAGATGCCTAAATGTCAGGTAAAAGGCTGTTGAATATAATTATGATAAAAGCTACTATTTACTGAAACTATTCCAAGTTGTGTATGAAGCACTTTACATTATTCCTAATTGTTCCTAACAATTCTATTAACTCTCTCCACTTAACAGGTGAAGAAAATTAGAGTAAAAGAAAAGATTTACCTAAATTCACTGAACTATGGTACCAGGCATCAGATTATAATCATAACCTTTCTGTATAGAGGCTAGAGTGTCTCTATACATTTTTCACAATACAGTCTTATATTTTTTAAAATTATGTGTGATATGCCTACATGCAGTAATGAGATAATTTCTTTTTCTATCTTATAAGTTTGTTTCAATTTATTATTCTTAACAAATGTTAATGATATCATATAAAAGTTGAAAACCTAATTCTACTACCCAGTTAAATTAAGCTAGTGACAGTAAGAGGCTAAAATCATCACCTGCCAAAAAGGTAGACCAAACGCTCAATTTAAAACTTAAGTAGCTAAAAACCCAGTTTATGCTAATCAAATGCATTATTTTAAAGTAAAATAAAGATTCTAAAAATGAATTTTTCAGTGCAGTACTTATTAGAAATAGTAATAAGGCCTGGCTGGTGTGGTGCAGTGGTTGAGCATCAAACCACAAAGCAAGAGGTCACCAGTTCAATTCCAATCAAGGCACATGCCCAGTTTTCAGGCTCAATCCCTAACAAGGGGCATGCAGAAGGCAACCAACCGATGGTTCTCTCTCAGAGATGTTTCTATCTCTCAATCCTCCCTTCCTCTCTCTAAAATCAATAAAAACATATTTTGGGGGGAAAACAAGAAGAATGAAAGAAAGAAGCCCTGCAGTGGCCTAGTGGTTGAGCACTGACCTATGAACAAGAGGTCAGGATTTGATTCCCAGTCAGGGCACATCCCTGTGATGCAGATCCATCCGTGGTGGGGGCATGCAAGAGGCATCCAATCAATGATTTTCTCTTATTGATGTTTCTATCTCTCTCTCCCTCTCCCTTCTTCTCCAAAATAAAAATATACTTAAAAAGAAATAGCAAATATAAGCAACATCATGCTTTATTAATCACGCCGGAAAACTGCTATGATATCCAAAGTGACCAAACTTCATCAATCCAATTTTCCTAAAATCACCTTTTTCTCA